GTTGTTTAGTGATCACTGTGCTGTGGGCTGAACCTGGTAGCATGGGCACACCTGCTCTTTTGTTTTGGCTAAGGCAGGACTGCCTCATTGCCTGTGAGGTTACTGCTCCTGCCTCCCTTGCCATGACCCTCAAACCTACTCCGTCACCAAGGCTTTTCAGCTCTCCTTCACTGAGACCTGCAGCTTTGACTGTTTTTCTGAGGCACTGTCTCAGTTGGATGCAGAACTTCATGCATGAATGAAATGGCATGCTCTGGGCCCTCAGCTTGGCAACATAGGCAAGAAGCTCTGCCAGCAAGAAATAGAACAGGAGGTACCTTTAGAAACCTGATTCCATAACCACTCCGGACTCATCCAGGGCAGATGTTGTCCTGCCCTGGGCAGGGGCAGTGCAGCTCAGACTTCATTCAGCTGCGCTAATGGGGAGAAAGAAACCAAGAATCTTATGCCCATCCACGACAAAACATTTTCTTATTCTCTGAGCTCCATGTTGAGGAGGTTTTCTGGGGTGCACACATTTAGCTACATGTGACTTGGCCTTTTTTTCCCCAGTTCCCATGCTGCCCTGGGACAGTTGCCAAGACTGCAGAAATTCTTACCCTCTCTTCTGAGAATTTGATGTGGATGTCTGAAAGGTGCATACTGAAGTTTTTAAAAAATGTTGCAAAATTTCATAATCATATGAAATAAATATAAAATATTTATAGGCACAAACTTGTAACTAACTGAAAGCAGTTGACACAGTTTGCAGCACTACAGATAAGCTGTAAGACTATACTCCCTATTGAGTTCCCAGTCCTCTCATACCTGTGTTTCAGCCCTTCTGGGCATTTATACACTTTTTCGTCAACACAGATACTCTAAAGTGAGGCAAAAGGTTATGTTCAGTTCAATCTAATGTGTTTGTTTTCACCCTGATGAAGACTTTGGGCTTTTTTTTAAAGTAGTAAAGTCCAAAATCCATGCTAAATAAGTAGATTAAATTTGTTGGTATTCCTCTGAGCTGTGCATCTTAAACAGGCTATTTTGGCATTTAGAGGCTTAGAATCGATCTTGAAACACTCAGCTTTCTTTTGGTTTGTGGTAACATTTTAATTCTGGAAGAAAAATGTTAAGATCATAATTTGACTTAAATGGAACAGATAGTTTGTATTTGCATCATAAAAAAATCACCCTCCACAAAATTATTAAAAAGAAATAGTAATTCTTAAGTTTAGAGGAAACTATGAAAATAAAATAAAAAACATGTAGTATAACTTAGACAAAATAGGGCAAGAATCCAGCTGCAGCAAAACAGCACAAGTGGTAAGTGACCTTACAGAACAGAGTGTCCAAGAGCTGTGCTCTGAAATCAGATTAATCTGTTTTCTCCTTCAGGCTTCTGCATGGAGTTGTGAATGCTTTGCTTGGATGTAATCCTCTGAAATACAACTGTTCTTTAGTAACATGAATAATCCCACTGTTCTTGTTAAAATAAGGATTACTTATGTGAATAACCCATGGGAACTGCATCCTCAGGAATAAAGGCAGATAATATGGGAATGAAAGGTATATTTTTGTAATTAATATTACGGAGGTATTTAAAACACAACCCCAAAAGCTGAAAGAGTGCGCTAAACCCCTGTGTTTGATCTTACATATGCATAAGGTGAGCATGCTATTTAACTACATGGGTGTGCAAGTAGAGTAACAAACTGGTGAAACAGATCCTTGGCACTGAAAAAAATCAAAATACGAAGATAGCTTTGTTTGCTTCAAACACTACCTGGTTTTAAAAGATCTGTGAGTTTAGCTCCGTGTGTGTGGGAGGAGTTGGGGAAAGTGGTGTTTTGAAAATACCTTCAAATATACTTGAAATACCAGGACTTGTTCTCACTTAAAGATTTTTAATTTCTTTTGCTAAGGATATTAATTTGGATTTAATCTTGTTGCAATTAGGAAGATGTTAGCTTTACTGAACCATCACTTATAACCACCTTCAGCAATCCAGACTCTCACCACGATAGATGTTTGCATGAGTGAAACCATGTCTGCACCTGATGCTTAAATAGGACTAATTCCCAACAATGTTAAGGTCAGGTTTCTCCCACATGGGAATGCTGGCATATTTGTGTTCTCCCTTGCTTTACTCCACTGCTCTGCAACTCTAAGCTGCTCCAAGTATTGCTCTAAATATATTAAAGGGAATAGTATTTTGACAGCCTAATTTAGCAAAGTAAGAACAATACTCTCTACGACAAAGAAAAAGCACTTTTCAAGCTTAAGGACATGCTCACTGCAGATCACTAACGTTTCCTGCAAATGCACTATGTATTAGAGCTTCTCAGAGAAACAGCTCAAACTGTATGTTTGTGTCAGCCTCAGGGTAGGGATATGCTCCAGCATAGGACCCCCAGCACTGTGCAATACTGTCAGCATTGAAACTAAACCAAGAAAAGGGACCTGAGATTCTCTAACATTGCAAAACAGATTAAGGCTGAAGTTCTGTGTTGATACTTCTCTGTTGGACTGCCTGGTTTGACGAACGCTACCTTTAACCACTCATTCCTCTTCCCTTCAGCCTCTGGAGTGTATCTTGCCTTGGTTGTGCTCATTCAGTCGTTTGTACAACTCCAGTTTCTCAATCAGATTAAACACAGTCAGAGGCTGGGTAGTTGCTGCCCTCTCTTCCTGCTGCTGCTTCTGTGTCAGTTCTGCAGACCATTCTGCTGCAGATGAACTGGATCAGAGACCTGTTTCCACTGAAAACTGAGCTTTACAGAAGAATTGTGGTCAAGGTCTAGCACCCACACAAGGAAAAGAATGGAAATAGGAGGATGGCACAGGGTGGAATTTGGGACTGACTTTTCATAGCACTGCACAGTCAAACTGGCTCAATCTGGTTGTGACACTGCAAAGGAAATGGGACATGTGAAATGATCCTTTTCAAAAGCACCTTCAAATTTTCAGCCTTTTTTTTTTTTTTTTTCCCACTGACCTACTTTGCAGCAGTTACACAAACAACTGCATCAGCACACGCAAGGATGTGCTGAGCTGTGGTACAAAGATCTGTCACCACAAAGCAACTGTGGAGACAGTGAGCTTTTTAACCTGAATTGCTGCCAGAGGAAATTTTCATAGTGTTATGTGGCATGACAAAAACGTTGGAAGTTGTCCAAAAGTCAAGCAAGGAAATACACACCCTGAAATCTCATAATGAATGTTTCTCAAATCGTTGCCCATCTCTGTAATATATGCAAATCATGTTTAAAAGAGATAAAATCAAAAACTCTCTAAGAGTACCTAACTTTTGCATCTGTTTAGTGTATTCTGACTTCTAAAGACTGCATTTCCAGACTACCGCATCTTACACTGGAATTTTGGGACACATTTTTGCAGTGGGAGCTAAGGCTGACCACTTCAATGGCTCCAACAATGTCTCCTGGCATTCAAAACCAGAGCATGGCCTCTACAACTAAAGTTGGACTACTGTCTAATTTATTTGTGTGCTGCCTGTATTTTTTTTTTGAAGATGAATTAGACATATATATTACTTAAAAAATTTTTTAATATATTAATACACTTAAATCACCATTGACTGAAGTGACATTTGATTATAAAAGTTCCTAGATCACATTGTACTCAAAGACTTTGTAACCACTGTTTCTGTGTCTCAAAAGAAAATATTTAGCCTCCAGGAATCATCCACACTAACAGCTTTTAATTCACTTTGAGTCACCCAAAGACTTTCTGGTGAAAATGCAGAAGCCATCATTAAGTAGCAACTCGTACTCTGAGCTGATAGAAGGCTTTACTGTTGCCCCACAGAGCTGAGCCCAGGTGCCTGCAGGAGGGAAGCGACCTCAGTTCGTTCCTATTAACACAGAACCAGCGGTCCCTGCATCTTCACCTGCATCATTTGCTTTGCTTGCTTAAGTTATTGCAATAATATTGCAAGCAAAACAGGAAAGGCTGGTCAATAACCCATTTTACGGACTCTCTTCTTTTTCCATTTTGATCACTGAACTCGTTTAAATGACAGTGTTGTTCATGTTTATTACTGGCACTTGAATTATTAAAATCCCATGAAATGAGAGCAATGGTTATCCCCTTGAGCTATTCCGACTCTTCGCAAGCACACATTCACTACACGGGGTCGTGGCTGCAAGGCTGCCCTGCAACTCCGGCAGGCAGGTATTTCTTTTCTTTTAAAAGTCCTCATATAAGAAGCTGAAAGGATGCACCACCAGAAGTGAAACTCTTGTGTCAAAAATAAGGCTCATTTTATTTGTTTTGTTCGACTGTCAAGCAAACTGTGTTTTAATTTGCTTAATTCCTTTAGTGTAAACTTGTGTCCAGGTTTACATGCCAGTAACACGAATCTATACAACACTCCCAAGTCCGACTTCCACTTTATGTAAGGCATATTTACACGCTTCCTCTCAACACTACATTCGCCCGTAATTGCCGCACATTTGTCGTTTGCGTTTGAAAGAATTATCCCCCTACACCGCATCCGCGCCCTACTTCTGAACCCCGAGACGAGGAACAGCTCATTTTGTTGACCCCTGCCTGGCTCCAAAATCATCCCCCCCACACGGGGGCATCTGAAGCTGTGTCGGCGCGTAGCACGAGGTGAGTTAGTTCGCAGACCAGGCTCTGGTCTGTGTGTCCGTGTGTCTGTGTGTGCCTGTGTGTCCGTGTGTGTGTGACAGCCAACTCCCCCGCCCCTCATGCCAAGGCCAGCGCGCGCTTCCTGCCCGCGCTCGGGGCGGAGCTCGCGCGTCACGGGCTGCGCGCGGGCTGCGCCGTCCCTGCAGCGATGGCGCCCACGCGGCCGCCCGGTAACGGCCGCGAGCGCTGCGAGCGCCGCGCGCGGGGGGCCGGGTGGGGGGGGAGGGATGTGTCGGCGGCGCCGGGCGGTGCGGGGTGTGAGGGGGCGGGCGAGGGGGTGCCCGCGGCTCGGTGCGGGCGGGGGCGGCGCTCATGCACCGCTCGTAACCTTTGCAGAAGCCGCTTGTGGCGTGTCTGTGTTGGCAGCGAGTGAGTGAGTGAGTGAGTGGTCTTGTTGGCGGAGCCCCCGGCGCTGAGCCGGCCCCCGTAGAGCAGCTGCGCCCTGCCTGGAACGGGTCGGGAGGTGCCGCCGGGATACGCGCACACCGCCCTGACCGCCGGCACAGTTTATGTCGGGAAAATAAAATCCGGAGCTCGGTAGTAGGGACTGGGTGTGCACCAGCTGCTCCGGGGCTGTAAGCCAAAAACGTCGTTTCGCGGGTTGAACAGAAGCCCTGTGAGGATAAAGTAAAGTTGTAGCTGCTGGTTGGCGTTGTTGGTGTTTTGGAATGGACAGCTCCGTCAGTGGCAGCTTTCAGTGGTGCTGCTGCCTGCGGAGATCCCAAGCACTTTCCTTTTTAATGTTTCGGAGGGAGTGCCTGCTGCTGAGCCTGCACTTCACTCGGCTTGTCGAGCAGGCCTGCACCGGCACAGACTCCATACTCAGCTTTTGTGATCTGAGGCTTTTCCAGGTTCCTCGGGCAAAGATGGTGTTGACCTGCCCTGCCGTTTCTCCCGTGTCATTTGGGATCAAGCCATGACTGTCCTGCTGCAGAACGGAATGGGTTTGGCTGAAGTGGGAAGTACGGGAAGGTGTTTCAGCAGCAGCTCGAGAAGTGGTGGCAGTTGGAGAGGAGTTCTGTGTAGATGGAAGCCAAATTTGTGTGCTGGGGATGTTTGTGGAGCCCCTCTGAGCAGGCACAAGGCGATAGGTGGTGGTGTGTCCATATGGCAGCGGTGCAAAGGACCTGCGTTCAGGAGTGGGCCATCGGGAAGCTGAGCACAGTGCTTCTCCCTAGCCTTCCAGGGGCAGGGCATGCCACGTGGCATGTGTAAATCTGGAAGGGGGTTTGTTTCTAGGTGATTTCACCTGTAATGAATATCTGTTGTGAGGAGTTTCATGTCAGAAGATGGACAGCTGTGCTTATAACACAGGGAGCTTTGTAAGCATGAATTTTGTGTGTTTGGCTAGAGATAGTGGACACAACAGAGCTGTTATTTTAAGAATTCAGTCAGTGACTTTAGTGTTAGTTGTTTGCCTTTCAAACTAACTTCATAAATACATTGGCTATAGAGCTATCTTGTCTATCTGTTATTTTAAGACCTGAATGGTTCTGAAAACAAGTGCCAACATAGAAGTTGTTAGCAAGGTGCACACAGGTGCCCAAGGTGAAGCAGTAAAATCCAATGCTTCTCTCTTGGGATAGGCTGGGTAACAAATAACTTAGCAATGGGGTGCTGCTGCCCACTGTTGCAGAGGAGCTGTGTGCCATCCATTGCTACAGTTCATGAAACTTTTACTGTTGCCAGAGGGCATCCAGTGGAAGAAGATTTAATTAATTAAACAGCAAATAATGCTGAGGTTATCATGAGCTGCCTGTGGCAGACAGATAGTGAAACAGGAAAGTCTGGCCCAAAAGAGTTAACTAAGAGATTTGGGCCTGTTAACAAGCTACTAACATCCAAAACGATCTGTACTTGTTCTGTTCTACTTACTGGACCAAAACTTAAAGAGAATGGTAAAAGAACCATGTAATAGACCTAGAGGTAATAAATTAAGTTGCAATAGGGTAAGGTAGACATTTGAATAGAAGAAACAGGCTGGGAGCCAAGGCCTTCTCCAAGCTTTAGTTTTTCACATATGGCCTGTATGTTGTTGAGTTGGGATAAGGAGATGAAGGAACATCATCTTGCCCTGCTCCTTGACTGTTTAGTTGCTACGTTTTGAAAAATGGAAGGTTACGTACAGTTGTACAGAGTTCATAATTGTTATGAATGACTGTAGGGTGAGAAACTTTACCAAAGAGACACCTTGCGTGCCATACAAATTTATTTATAAAGATCTTCAAGTAATAAAAGTTCTTGTAGCTCAGATAATTTTTCCTTTGCAGATGAGTAATTCTGTTGTTCATGTGATCTCAAGCCAGAGTGATTACCTTGGGAAAGTGAAGCAGGGTTGTCTATCCCATTGACTTTCAGGCCAGTGCTGTTGGGACGCTTGTTCATTTGCTCTGGTCTGCTATTTGGTATGGTTCCAGCCCTAGAACACTGTGGTTATATTTTAAGTTTCAGAAGAGCGTAAAATCAAGGTAGTTGGTCCTGGGTCCCGTTACTTTTAATCATTTTTTGCCTGAGCAGAGGCAAGGTTTGTAAACAAAAACAACAACAAAAAAAGGCTGGCCTGATTTTTCCCAATTTAGGAACTTCTCCAGACTTTTTTTTCATTTATTGTGCAACAGACTCGTGCACCTTGTTTACTGGAGAGGGGAATTATGTGAGTTGAATGCTGAATTAAGATGATGGTGTGCATTTTTGCAGACCTGACTCCCAGCCTCCTCCCTCCCTCCTCCCTGCTTTTCTTCCAAGGGCAGAGTTCAGCACTTCCTAGCATGGCTTTATGAATCAATCTTCTTTGATTTCTGGGGTGTTGTTGGACCTGTCTGCAGACTTAGTTTCCAACTTGAAAATTGTATCATCAGTGTGCCAGAGCACGACATCAAGTAGTGCAGGCTGCTGATGGAAGAAGAGTCAGGTGTTATCTGTAGGAGAGGTAAATTGGGTTCTGGTGGGCTTGGAGCTGTGCCATCCATTTGTAAAACATAGACTGTGCATATCTCTGGCACTGATGGCCACCTTCATGGTTTCTACCCTGTTTCCTGCAGCTTTTTGAGATGCTGATGAAGAAGCACAGGTTTGGGAAGCTTCAGAATAATGCTCTTGCAGCGATGAGGCAGAGATCTGTGCTCCTGTGAGCAGAAAGTAAGGCACCAAAGCAGGATCTGTTCAGCGAGTCGAGCTGTAGAGAAAGCAAATGGACTAGATGAGGTGCAGGATTACAACCAAAGGGTAAATCTTTGCTTCCCTGTGTGTATGAGAAGATAGTTAGGAAGCATGTAGGTAAAAGGAATAGAAGCCTCTAGAAAGCAGGACTTGTTCTGGGAGGGCTCTGATAGCCCATCTCAGCTGTCTGAGCTGCAGCTGTCAGGGCCAAGGCGTTGACTTAGAAGGCTCATTAAAGCAACAGCAAAGCTATGCTGTGTGTGTGTCTCATCGGGCTGTAGCTCTTGAAAAGCACACGAGTTATGCACCACGGGAGTCTGCACTGCAGACCTACTTTCAGATGCAATTTTTTGTGTCTTGCTTCTAAAAGCCTTTAGCTCAAGGACCAATTTTATTTCCATGAATAATTTGATGGTTTAACGTGAGCAGGTTTAAGCTCTTGTGTAAGAACCTGCTGAGCCTGCCTCTGTGGTATAAAAACTTTCAACTTGAAATGAGGGTGGCTTGCTTTTTGGTATTTTAATCTCCCTTTAAATGCTTCATACTTGTTAGAGAGCAAATTTTGTTTGGTTTCTCTTCATGCTGAGACTCTATCTGATTTAGAGCTGTTTTCCAGGGTTGGTATAAACATAACCTTGTAATGCTTTCCTCTTAGCCTCAGCTCCTCTCCATCACATTGTTTTTTATCCATACTGATGCCAAAACAGAAGTTACATTGCAAGAATACAAAAGGAAAAAAATCAAGTCAGTTAGCAGTTGCCAGTGATTTTTAAGTACTACTGTGTGTAGTAGTAAGTTGTACTGAAGTTGTAATGAGACATAGGAATATTTTTGTGCCTCAGAAATCATTCATTTTTTACAAGGGTTTTGATGATAGTTCATAACCAGAAAGCAGTACAGGTCTTTACTTAGAGTAAGCCCAACCTGAATGAAGGAGACAGATAAAGAATAGCGCATCATTCATCTACATGTTTGTCAAAGGTAAGTGGGGTCCTACTTTTGTAGTTTGGGTATTTGATAAAGAGCCTATTTGGTTATTTTGTGATCTGTACGGCCTTATCAATGCCTGTAAGTATCTGAAAGGAGGGTGCCAAGAGGGTGCAGTCAGGCTCTTCTCGATTGTGCTGAGCAGTAAGATAAGGGGCAATGAGCAGAAACTGATGCGTGGGGAGTTCCATCTGAATGAGGAAGAACTTCCATACTGTGTCAGTAAGCGCACACTGGAACAGGTTGCCTAGAGAGGTTGTGGAGTCTCCATCACTGGTGATAGTCAAGAACTGTCTGGATGCAATCCTGTGCCGTGTGCTCTATGAATACCTTGTTTGAGCAAGGAGGTTGGACCAGATAACCCACTGTGGTCCCTTCCAACCTGACCCATTCATTGATTCTGTATGTGTGTCTTGGTTCTGAAATGATTCTATGTATGTTCTAAAGAGGAAAAGTAGAATTACTTTTGTTGTGGTCTTGGTATTTTTGTTTGTTTGTTGGTTGGTTTTGGTTTGTTGTTTGGTTTTGGTTGGTTGCTTGCTTAAGTTTTTTTTATGCCTCTGATTATAGTTCTGTCTTTTTCCCCTAATGTTTGGAATGGGCTTTGTTTGGGATCTTGAAGCATTATAGTACTGTATCTTCATTCCTAATGATAGTGCTGAAATTTCTACAGTTTCCTGTTTCAGTCATGGTTAGATTTACCCTGTCAAGTATCTTGTAATTAGCATATGATTTACCTGGTTTGTTTTATTTTGACATTATTGTAGAGGACAAAAATTTCTTGCTGTGTTTGTACAAAAGAAAGTAAAGCCTGGCTATTATCTGTTGGTGTATCTTGGCATTTGCCAAGTTGTTATTTGGGACTCAGGTGAATTTGGGACTCAGTTGAAGAATTGTTTTTGCTTGTTCAGTTTATTTCTCTTTTTCTGTCATTATGATGTAGACTATTAAAGTAGGTGTGGTTCTTTTTTAATGAAGTTTAGTAATTTCTAATTTGCACTTGCATACCACTTACAGTCTGGTGCTCTGTACCAAAGGGCAGCTCTACGTTGCTGCTCTGCTGGTGGAAGTTTATTATATAGAGAGTTTGATGTATGCCCTTGTGAACTTTTGATAAAAATTTTATCTGTGGTTGATTGTGTTCAGGTGACAGTGCTTAGGTAAAGGACCAAGTGAGTTTAATTCTATTTAGATAGATACAGCTGTGACAGCAGGTTGTTGGAACTGTAGGTGAAGTAAACCAATTACTGATTTCAGTAGAGGAGTAGTTATTCCATTTCTTGAATGGGAAGAGCTCAGGTTGCACAAATGTATAGACAGAACATTTCATAACTACTTAAATATTGGGTTTATTTTCTTACAACAGATCCCCAGAAAAGTGTGGAAGATGAAATTGAATCCATTCTGCAGGAGCGAATAATGGTTTTGGATGGAGGCATGGGGACCATGATTCAGCAACATGCCCTGACAGAAGAAGATTTCCGAGGGCATGAATTTAAAGATCATTCCAGGCCTTTAAAAGGCAATAATGACCTTCTTAGTATAACTCAACCTGATATAATCTGTGACATACACAAGGTAGGTGATTCTGATTTCTGTCTCTTGACAAGAGAAAGAGGGAGAATTTGGCCTCTGCACTCCCCTTTTCCATACCACAGGCTACTGGCTCTCCTGCGTCTGTTGGGGATAGGGAAGAGAGTGCTAGGTAACCATGCGAAAAAGAGTGAGCAGATTTGACTGTTCTGGTTGTGTGAGCACAGCATTCGTGTCTTGGTTCCTGATGTCACCCAGGCAGTGCTGTTTTTAAATCCCTTTTTGATTTATATCCCTTATCTGTTTCTATTAATTCTAGATTCTGTTTTATTTCATTTTTATTTCCTTCTCCTCAGCCAGCACTTGAAATGCATCTAAGTAGGACATATCTGAATACTAGATGCATTTCTATAATTGTGTATTAAAGAGCTGTTAAATGTGGCAGCCTGAAGCGGGCCTCTCCATAGTTAATGAGTGTATGGGCTTCCTAATGAGTATACGTGCTTCCATATTCTTGGTTTTTCCCTAGAATACTAATGTGTGGCCCAGAGGATAAAACCATCTAAACTGCTGATGATTAGGAATTTGCAAACAGATTTCATTATTTTCCTGTCTTCAATTAGACTTTAAAAAACAACTTCCTAAGTCTTGTATTTATTGAGCTCAAGGTATTTGTAGGTCTTACTGTAATAATTGGAATACTTGAATAGCATTGCAGCTATTTGTTATTCAGTTGAAGCTTCACGTCTATTCTGGTTTCTTCCAATAACTTATTAACAAGATCTGTATTTCATTGATGAGATTTGTATTTGGCTTATGTTTGTTAAACTTAGTAGGTAATCTGTATGTTTTTATTTACATTCTAACTGTCATTCTTTGGATTTTAAGAATGATGAGCTGGAAAGAATCAGCTTTTGACCTATAAAAATTTTAGGAGGAAGTATTTGTAGATTGAGTTCAGTTCCTACACTATCAACTAAGCTGCAGTGGTCAGGAACCTTGGACTTTATATTAGTTTGTGGTTTTAATAGAATAAACTGCTTTAACAGGTGAATTTTGCAGGTTTAGTGGAGCAATACTGATGTGATTTGAGAATGCATGTATTCAGTCAAACCAGGTAGCCTGTTCTTATCTCTCCGATGGCCAGTTGCGGGAGCTTTAGGAAGAGTGTTAAAAAATTAAGTGTCTTTTGTGGTCTGCATGCCAGCAGCAGCTATGGGGTCAGGTGCTTTCTGAGCAATGGGTGTTGACTTCGTATTTTACAGCTGCCAGTGGTTATTTTTTCTGAGAACTGCACAGAAGGAACTTGAAATAATAGTTGAAAATATTTCTACAGAGTAGCTATGATCCCGCTATATGTATGGTGGGAGTTTTGTTTTTTAATTAATTAATGACTCACTGGTTTTTGTTGGTTTTTGTTTTGTTTTGTTTTAAATTAATGACTCAGTGAGTCTGATCTCACAAATATCAGTAATGTGAAAAGTAAGTGGTAGCTGTACCTTGTCTGGCAAAGACAGATTCAGAGGTAAGAGATGTGATGTATTTTCAAAGGCAAAAATGATCTTCCTGCTTTGAGCATATTTTCTTCTATGGTGGCAGACAGTAAAGTTGAAAAGCTTTTACTAAAATGACAGATCTGAACTAAACAAAATCTGATAAAAAGATGGACACATTTAACATGTTTAGATGTTTTTCAGAAACTTGATTACTTGGTTATTGGTGGATATGTAAGAACTTATATAATTTCATATAGTTATTTGTAGATACTTTCATATGTTTTGAGGAGGAGCTGTGAGAAAGCATATTTGTTTGCAGAAAAATATGTTTTAAAGCAAGTTTAATTATTTTCTGCTGTCAGTTGGATGAACTGTATTGAACTCACTTTCATCTTCCTCTTACAGGAAAATCTGATTGGTTTATGTTTAATGGCTGCATCAGTATTTTTGACTTACTAGCACTTCAAATATTTTAATTTCCTTGAATATGCAGGGATCACATAAGCATTCAAAAGGATCAAAAGTTAGGGAAGAAGGAGGGCAACTGATAGAGGTTATAAAAATGCAGGAAAGAATCTGAAAAAATGTCTCAGTTTGCATTGATTTCAGTTTATTTCGGTGGGAATTAGACAACTAAAGTGGAGCAGAAGGCTTACATGTTTTGTGAATCTCGGCCATTAGTTAAACTTTAAATAAGATTTTCACAAAACCTAAGTTTTCCAAGCTTGTCCCAATATGCTCTTGTGCTGTACAGCTCCCTTCAGAACATTTAAATTTTCTGATCTTTTCTGTTGTTGTTTAACTGGAATTCTGAGACTGCCCAGAGCAGCCCTTGATTGCTGGTGGGAATCGAACTGTGTCCAGCCATGTTTCTGTGCAAAAATCTAGCATGTGCTCCAGGTGCTGGACTTAGTGGCAGAGGTGACTCTATAAATGTCACTTTTTAGCAGAAAAGTGTGGCTGACATTGAAATTCTGAAAAGGGGTTCGGTGGAATATTTCCATAGCTTTGGCCCTGTGCTTTTGATTAAAGCCTTTAGAGTTTAATCTGCCTTGAATTAGGATATGATTTGTGACTTTTTATCAACTGAATGAGACAGAGTAATCAGGTTACTTTCATTCTGTATCTCATGTCTGGAGATCTTGGACTGTTTTTTTCTTTCATGTCTTGCAGGAGTACTTGCTGTCAGGCGCTGACATCATTGAAACTAACACTTTCAGCAGCACCCGAGTTGCACAGGCTGACTACGGCCTTGAGCATTTGGTAAGAATGCTGAGTTATTTACACATTAAGATATTAAAAAAGCGTTTTTTTCTTATCAGCAGCCAAGATTAGCATAGCCCCAGAGTTCATTGGTTTTGTGTTTATTGGCCACATGCTGCCTCTTGAGCCATGTGATGGGGTTGTAGCTCATTTTCACTACTGTGGACAATTGTACTTGTTGTGTTTCACAGACAGAGTGTGATTCTTGGTGACAAAAGCACAGGCAATAGTAAATAGTGCTATATTTTGTTTGAGCATTCACAGAATCTCTCAGCTCTTTGAATGGGGATGTTTTGCTTCAGTCCTTCCAACACACCACAATGGAACTGCTTTTTTCCTGGAAGCACAACTTGTGTGTTGTTTGTGTTGGTGTTTGTAGAAGTCCTTTCTAGCTTACATTTGTCATACCTATTCTTTGTTGTTTTGAGAACTTGAAGAAATATGTGAAAAGAAATACTTGGAAATACGCAGCTTGAATAAAAAGTGAATTTAAAAGTAGGGTAATTTTGTCATCAAAGTCCTGTTTTTCAGCTTCTGTAGACTTCAGCAGGATTTAATCAGTACCTTACAGATTGAAATTTTACGATTAGCAGTTGCTGACTGGGGCATGTGTGGGATGAGACCTGCAATGTAACTCTGTTGCTAAGCTGTTGCTTTTGAAACACTGTAATAGTGCTTATATATATTTGTGTGACCTGGGGAATCTTCAGAGTGTCTAGTGAGCTATGGAGTGAAGTGTTGTATTTCTTTGAGAATGACTTAGGCTGTGCTCAACTAGAGGTTGCTCAGTAATTTTCTGTGATTATTCCAGGCATATCGGTTAAACAGAGTCTCTGCACAGGTAGCCCGAAAAGCAGCGGACACTGTAACTGCTCAGACAGGTAAGCAGTATTTATTTTAGTTTCTTACTCATTTGGGGTTTTGACTGTTTCACTACAATCTTTGAAATGTTGCTAACAAGAGCATAGCTTGATGTTTTACATGATGGGGACAAAACATGAGGCTCTGCATGTCTGCAAGTTAGGCACAGCAGCAGCAATTTTATATCTCTATTCATATCACACTAATTTCATCATGTTTGAAGGATCTGGTCCTTAATGGGTTGTGTAGGATAGCTGTCCAGTGCCTGTTTTACGCTATGGGTGTAGAGAAAATAAACTCAGCAGGAACCATTAGAAGTTCCTTAGGTTTGTATGGCACAAGTCTTTGCACTACAAAGCTAGGATAGCTGATTGTACATAAACATGGATTACCAGGTAATCCTAGTGAATGCCTAGTGGTTTAACTTTATTCAGCAGCTGCTGGAACGATCTTAGTATGTGACTGTCATCTGTAAATGCTCAGTCTTTTATCTTCCAGGCATAATGTGAGGGGGGTTACAGCTCATTTGTTGCTGTAGGCAATGCTGTCTTTCAAAGACTCGTAATTTCTGCGTGTATTCTACAATCAAACTGTATTTCAAGCTAACAGTGCTGCTGCTGTCCAGATAACACCTTACTGAGGTGATTTATGGTATGCAATAAGAATGTAAGATTTGAAATACGCTTTCAGAAAGTAGGGGTTTTTATGGCACATGCTGGAATATTCAAATAAGGTTATCTAGTGAAAAATGCCAGGACAGTTCTGTGCTGTGCATTTAAAGTAATTGAATGTAGTTTCCTGTGTCAGAGACAAATGATTCTTAGAAGAAAAATTCATTGAGCCAATTGCCCTTTTCATAGATGTTCTTCTGTCTGAATGATATGCATGTCTTGGTGTCCTTGGAGATATTTTATATTGACTGTCATCATAAAGCCAGAGGTAAATTGTTTAGTTTCCTTATTTTTCCTTTTTTCTTATTTTTTTCCCTTTTTTCCCCCCTCCTATGTCTTTGTTTAGGAATTAGGAGATATGTTGCTGGAGCCATGGGTCCGACAAACAGGACACTCTCTGTGTCACCATCTGTGGAGAGACCAGATTACAGGAACATAAGTATTTATAACCATTGAATTATTTAACTTAGGCGGTGGTCTTGTAAGAGATACCTTCAGATGAAATTAACCTTCTTCCTGTTCTACAGCTTTTGATGAACTGGTTGAAGCCTATACGGAACAAGCCAAAGGGCTTTTGGATGGAGGAGTTGATATCTTGTTAGTGGAAACCATATTTGATACCGCCAATGCTAAGGTGAGACTTCTGGAAAAAGCCCACCTCAGTAATATAAGTATTTGATGTACTACCTGAGGAAATTCAACGTAGTATTTTTTAAGAGCTGTCAGCTACTGCTTACTAAATACATGAAAAGACTCTTCAGTTGATAGCAAATAGGTAGAATATGAGGAGATGACTTTTAATTGACCTTTTCCAGAATGCTTCCTTTGCCTTTTAATATGTGCCATTTGTATCTTTCTGGCTGTCTGTGCCAGCTGTCTGCTTATTCCCAGAAGCTCTGCTGTACTGCAAACCATATCCAATGGCATCTGATGTTTGTGTTTTTCAATGTAAACTTGTCTGCCCCAAGGATGCTTCTGATGCACACTGGAGAGGGAATGTCCAGTGTATCTGGTTGCAGGTGTGCAAAGCCTTGTAAGACAGTTCTATTAAAAGGTGTTTCTTTAGGGGAAATCTGACATCAGGTTCAAAAAAGAACAATTGGATTAAAGGCTTAGAAGGGTAAAAGAGAAGGAAGAAAATGTTGAAATATACCACGTTTCATGTGATTTTGACACCTCCTTCTTTATCTAATAACTACTCAGAGCAGGTGCTGGAGTTATGGTGCTTAAAACTGTCTTGCAATTTTACATGGAAAAGTCTGGCTGGATATGCACATGGCATTTCTTTAGGCTTTTGCCACAGGCTTATTAATGTGTTCAGTGGCGTGACTTATGCTTTGCAGATATGACCAGTTATGATGGAGGTTTGACTAGGAACCTGTAGGCTCAATGTTATGCTGAGCTCCTGTTCACATGCAACTTTCTTACCCCAAGGAGGCAGGACATTTTCAGGACCTTCTGAGGAATTGCTTATAGTCCTTACATTAAAAATTTGTGGGGGTTAGAACCCTTTGGAACTGGATGTTTGAACAGACTAAAGGGCACTGAATGTATACTGAGGATAGTACATAAGAACCATGTTTAGGGTAAGGATTATGCTACAGATGTGAGGGAGAAGTACTTGCTGATGTGATTTTGGTTTCAAAATAGTCTTGGTCTTATTTGGTTACCCTGTGATCCTTCCTTTCTACTTCTTACCAAGATGTGTTTTGGAACATCTAGAAAATGTTAGGGGTAAGGGTAAAACTTCTTGAGTGTAGTAAGTTCTGGCAGGCCATATGAGGTAGCAAGTTGCATAAACAGCCATAAAAAGTAATAATTAAAGAAAAAGGCAGCAAACCCACAGAAACAAAAAAACCCCCAGACAACAAACTGAAGAACTCCTAAAACATAATTAATATTTTGCAACATGTTCTTCTGTAGGCAGCTCTTTTTGCACTCCAAATGTTGTTTGAAGAAGAATATGCTCCACGACCCATATTTGTAAGTATATTTTAATATTTTACAAATGCTTAAGCTTGATTTGTGAACAAACTGAGATGGCAGTTGAATAAAATGCTTTGAAATGAAGGAAATTTGTGTATTGGAAATGTACTTTTTTTTCCACAATTGTGAAAGTAAAACCTCTTACATGAAGAACTTTATGATATCAGCCTTGGGTAACTCTCTCCAGCTCATCAAGCTGAAGACTGAGGAATTACTTCATTCCAGTGTGTATTCATTCTTTCTATTTTTGCAGGAAAGGTTTGATGATGATTTTTTTTTTCCAAGCTTTCTGTCTTAGGGACAATAAGAACCAGTGCTTGAAGGATGAAATGAAGCAAATTCTGCCATATTTTTGAGTAGCATGAGTGGCCATTTGAAGTCAGAAAAATCTGACTCCGTATTCCTTCTCTCGTGTGCCTTTTTTTGACAATTCCCAGTCATGAATGTATTGGAACAAGTGTACAAAAAGAATGAACTTGTTTTGAAAGTTCTGATGTATTTTCCAGTTTTCTGCAGTTTGCAGCCCAGGCTTTCTGATCTGCTGTTTGTATCTGTTTGTAACCTCTTGTTGAATGTGTTTAATCCTTCTTTGAACCTAGGTTTAAACCTATGTGGGACCCTGGCACCCACAAAATAATCTGTCAGTAACTTCCATGGCTTATGAATGTGTTGGTTTGAGAGTTGGTTTACTTTGGGCTGTCTGCCTGATAACTTCTACTATGTGGTGCCATTTGTCTCTTGCAAGTGACAATGAGCAGATGTTCTGTGTTCCCTTTGCTAGATTGTCATGTCATTTGCAGTCCTTGGTGAGAGCCTTCTTTAGTCATCTTTTCTCAGCCTGAAGAGTTCTTCTCTATTTAGCTGCTTCATCCCATTCATTCATTTTTGTCCCCTTTTTGTTTTCAACTTCCTCAAGTCAGAGCGGAATTACAATAGAATACAGCATTCAAAGTGGAGACATCAGGGATTTGTGTCATAGCCCAGTGATGTTCTCTACCTATTCCATTTCTTTCATTGTAGTTTCTAATGTTTTGCTTTACTGCTAGTGGAAATTGCATTCATAAAAGTCTCTTTTGTTACTTAGTTTAGCCTCTTGAACAGTAAACACTAGTTTGGAGGTGTCATTATGTAGAACTATTCTTGTGTTCACAACTTTGTACTTGGTCAGCCATGAGTTTCCACTATTTGTCATTCAAGTCATTTAACACGGAGAGTTTTCTGATTACGCAGAGTTGACTTTGTCTTCACCATCCTGAATAGAGTGGTCTGTGAGTTTGGTTGCCTCATTCTTTGTTCCTTTCTCAGTTCAGTTATGCTGAGAAGTATAACCCTTAGCACAGCTCTCTAGGATTTAACTGATGACCTCCCTTGACCAAGTACTTTGAAGGGAAGTAGCACTGATGTTAAAGCATGTTTTGGAGTGAATAGTGGATTTACCTTTGCATGGAGTCTTCTAAACTCACTCCATCTTCTGGAAAAAAGAGTTTTTTGGCCCTGGGAAGGCTTTCCTGAGTCATCCAGATACCTCTGAAATTCTCAACTTTTTATTTGTTATTTGAGGTCAAGACATTATTATTTGCACATCTCTTACTCTAAAGAGGTGTGATTATACAGGTTAAGACTTCTATGTCCACTATCAAGTTGCAACCTTTGATGTTCCCTTGTGGCAAAACGAGTAACTTGTTTTTAAGGTCAGCCCCACCTCTCCTACTTTCCTACCAACCACCACCAAGCAACTTAATAGTAATCCTGAGACGTGAAATAAAATGTTTGGTGGGGGGAGGGGATGAGGAGAAGATGACTGCTGATAGCTGCCTAAACAACAAACCCCTGCAGATCGGTTCAGAGGCCACCATCAGAACAGTACCATGGTACTCCTGCTTCTTGTCTGCTGAGTGGTTCATAGCAGTTATCCTCATTTTTGTTTGTTTGTTTGTTTGTTTTTTTGCACTCCTGAGGAGGGGGGAGAGTGCGAAAGAAGACTGGTCAAAGGTTTGTCTTTCCCTTAGCTGAATATTTAAATATCTCTAGGGAGAAAAGGGTTTCGTTTTTCTGTTTGGGTTGTGTCTTATCCCTTTGAGTGCAGCACAAGTCCCTCTGCTTTGACTTATAGCAGTTCAGCCATTTAAGTTCTTAATTTTGTTGTGCATTTAATTCTTCTTTCTCTGTGTTCAATTGATATTTAGGTTTCTGGAACCATTGTGGATAAGAGTGGGCGTACCCTCTCTGGCCAGACAGGAGAGGCATTTGTCATTAGTGTTTCCCACAGTAAGCCACTTTGGTAAGGAAATGTATCATTCCTTCTTTTAGTAGGTTATCTGTAGATTGTGATTCTTTTCTATTTTAACCCCCTGCTTGCAGCTAAATGGAAGCTATACCACCTCTGATCATATTTATTCATATGCATTGCTAACATGTTCTGCTGTCATTCCCTCAGCAGAAATTATGTTTCCAAAGACAGCTGAATTTTTAGCTCATTGCTTTAAATAATCTGGGGTTTTGTTTTTACACTGAAATCACAATTAAGTCAAAGTCTGAAACTGTAGTTTGCCATCTCCTACAATCCCTGGTACAGGCAGGGCTTACATCTCTTTTTTAGAGGGAAGCAATGCGAACTGGGAATATTTCTGGGTATTTTGAAAGAGAAAATTGTTAAGATATCATTGCAGTGTTCTTTTTACTGAACCCTTACAAAATGTGCTCTGTTTTTCTCAAGGATGTGCATAGTTATTTTGAGAGCTCCTGATGCCTCCATTTACTTGCATTCTTTTCCATTCAGGCAGAAAAGTTGAAATTAGTATGAGATTAAGGTCTGTGCAAATGGATGATGTGGCAGATTTGGTCATTGTACAAAGTTTTGCATGCCCATTTGAATACTGTTCCCTGTTTCCCTATTGTTCTGTGTTTCTATATCCTGTTCTACCACCTTCTTCCCTCCTCTTCTCTCTTTACCATTTTTACTCTCAGGTTGGTTCTTCACACAAAAATTTACACAGGAAATAGATTTTTTCTTTTCCTAGAATATTCTATCTAGGATCACTGTTAATAGTGTACACCATGCACATTGTGATGAGCCATTGTTTGTTTTTACAACAAAATTCCAGCTAAACTGCGCAATCTGTCATCTCAGTGATACAAAAGCAGAAGACTGCATTCACAGCTTTCCTGACTGCCCTTGAGGCTCCACTTTCCCAGACCAGACGGTGTTCCAGAAGTAACATATGGAGGCTCTTGGAACAGGGTGGTAGTTGACTCCTCTCAGCATCACAGCCTAGTGATCCATATTTGGCATAAGTCTGTCTCAGATAATCTTCCTCTAAGTCTTGCTTCTCAAGAGAAGGGCACTGGAGAAGAAATCAAGAATTTATTAAAGCATACTTCATAAAAACTGTCTTATGGGACTGAATGCTTAGGGCTTGTTTCTCATTTATGCAAAGGCTACTATACAACGCTGTGGCAGAAGGGTTTTAGTGAGAACAGCTTGCATTCGATGTTGTTTCTGTGGCCAAATTGGTACAGAGTGGCTTTAGGGTTTTGAAAAAACTGATTAATAGTAGTATCCTAGCAATCATGTTATATGTGTTCACATGTTTCCATTTAGGTTTTGTATGCCCTCTTCAGGGTGATGTGACATCCTTAAGTCAGTTTGTTTTGGAGTCCACCCTAAAAAGTGTGAGCTTTGTGTCTGGGTGATAGAGAGGTGGTAGCTGAGGTGCTCCTGAACTGTGCTTACTAAGTGCTGAAAGATGTGTGGCATGGAAGATGCTCAGATGTGTTATTTGAGATCCTATGATTGTTTCTACAGTGGGAGCATTAAGGAGACATACACTGAGTTTCAGGCCCTAATGTGGGTTTTGTTGTGGTCCCAAGGGCACTATGCAGCATTAGGAGTTGATGCGTGAGTGCTGTGAAGAAATGAGCAAGGGAGGGATGTGATGATTAAGATGAATGTGTGATGGTTATTACACTAGGGTAGCAGTGGTAGCATACCAGCAATCTGGCTCAAGGCTGCTGGCTCTTAAGGCATAACTAACAGTTCACTTTTCTCAAATGTCTTTTCGTTATGTTGTTAAATGGTGTAGGGAGATGATACTGGCCGCAGAAGCTACTTTTTGTTTCTGAATGAATTTGCATGTCTGTGCTGCAGTTTTGAGAGGGGTAATGCTTGGATTGTGTCATGCTCATGAATATACTTGTCAGCAACCTCTGTAATGGGTAATCATTCAGGCAGTTTTTAGTGTGAGGGAGTATGAGCTGGAAGCTTGTAAACTGAATGACTTAACAGTAGGAAATGCGTTGCATTTGTCTGCATATGATAAGGACAGTCTTGCTAACCATTCTTACCTTGCTTTGCTTTGAAAAGCTTGAGGATGAGCCCCCACTTAGAATAAATTCCAGAGCCTTATTGCTGTAATGAATTGTGTATTCCTTGTGCATACTGTTTGTATCCAGGGGATCTGTATGATGGATTCAAATATATGTAAATACCGAATTGGCAAACGAGAATAAAAACATTGTTTTCAAGTTTTTCTGGCCGGTATGTGATGTATTAGAGAAAGCACTTTGAAGGTAGAGCTGACTGTTTAAAAAACCCAAACATATATAACAACCCTCCCAAAGAAAAACAACAGTTCTCTCACTCCTGAGCTGTAGGAAGAAGGGGTATGTGTATTATTTGATCTTGGTCTGACTCTGATATTCAAGGTCCTGGGTTTGGATGTTGCTTTGAACCTCTCAGATCTCAAGGATTTGTCATTCTGTTCAACAGGTGAATCCAGCTGCAAGCATTTATTGCTGCTACTTGTGCAGTTACCGAGGCCCTGCCTACTGCTTGGAAACACGGGAAAAGTCAAAACTCATTTTGTGCTCTCAGTCCTGTTCAGAGCTTTATTGGTTTTGACCTCTGTGAAACTAAGTGGGTATATAGGCACCTAATTAACTCTGCCACCTCCAAGGCAGCCTCTGTGGCTCAGTTATTTGGCAGATGTGGCTGTTACCCATTCCTGTTTCAGTGGGTTAGCTTGCATCCTGTCTGAGATTGTTATTCCAGGAAAGGAGAAAACTTTTTTTATACCTTTGTCTTCCAGCTGCACTATAAACACCTTTGGAGTTTTGCAGTGTCCAAAAGGTGGTTTCTAGAATGGTACAGAAAGATCAGGAAACGTGTAAAAGATCTCTTACATACTTTCTGAAAGAGGAATTTTTCTATTTGATACAAATGGAGACATTTTGAGTGCAAGTCTCATTTATGTATCTTTGTCATTGAATGGAAGAAAATGTGGTTTTATCTCTTAATACAGGTAAAATTGTTTAAGAAGCTTATTCATTCAAAAATACTTCTGCTGTAGTGCTGTCCTGTTACTAAGATATAGCAGATTCAGTTGCCCAGACTTAGTGCTGCCATGGGGCATCTTGAGGGTGGCTTTTGGTCTCTTCCAAGGTTGACATAATTTATGTGTAATTTCGAAAGAAAATGATGAGTTAGCAGCTGGAAGCAGGTCTTACTTTTTCAATCTTTTTTTCATACTTTTTCCTGTAGCACAAGACTTCTTTCCAATCTGTCATTCTGATTCCACTTGTTCTCTCTCTCACCTAGAAAATACAGAGCCATCGTGTTGCTGCAGTTGCTGTCAAAATGCTGCCACTTTCCTCCTGGATTTTGAAATGAAATCTTGATTTACTGTTCCCAGTTCAGTCCAGCCCCTTTCCCTCTCATGCTTTTCTTCCACCTGAGGCTTCTCCTTTTGCACAGTCTTGCTGTATTGATGATGATGATTAAAGAAATTGGATATCAGGTTGGTTTTGTTTTAGATGATTGTGGGAGTTAGCAGTTGCCAGCACTAACATTCATATGTCTTCTGTGTAAAAGGTGTTTTTACTTCAACATAATTTTGAAAATTTATTTTCCAGTATTGGCTTAAATTGTGCTTTAGGGGCAGTTGAAATGCGTCCATTCATTGAAACAATTGGAAAATGTACCACAGCCTACATCATCTGTTACCCCAACGCAGGTGTGTTGGTGCACATGTTCCTATGCTTACAGGCACATGAAATGTAACTAACCTGTTCCATCTCATTAGCAATAATAGAGTTGAAGTAGCTTGAAAAGATGATTGTTTTTACTTTTAAAAAAGAGAGTAAGAATATTTTAAACTGCTGAAATTAACTGTTGTTAGTTCTGTGATGATGAACCCAGAATGCTTTCTTGAATAATTAATCTGTTGAGTAAGGATTACAAGGATGATGAGGCATTTTAGTCCTCTTATAATTGTAACTTCTTTAAATTTGCCTTTTATGGAATTTAATTCGGTTCTTGTGGGCTTTAAACAAATTGTAATACTAAAAAAATCATGTTTCAAGGTCTCCCCAATACTTTTGGTGGTTATGATGAAACTCCAGAAGTGACTGCCAAGCATATAAAGGTATGAAATACTTCTTGTGAGTTTGTCATATGTGACATACTAGTAGACAAGAACTTTTGCTTGTATTCTATGCATATTTGTTACAGTATTGTGCTTTGGGTTTTTTTCTTCAGATGGCTATATATGTCAATTGGATTGTTTATAGACAATTTGCTGAATGATAGTGATTTGAGATATCACATTAGGACTAAACTACTTAGGAGACTCTGAAAACCTTACTTAATTTCGTGTCCTACACTGAGCTTTCCTGCAGGTTGATCTGTGGATGTTACTCATTGCACTCCTAATGTTGCTTTTACATTTGGGAATTGTTGAAAAACCTGAGCGTTTTTTATGAACCTGGCAGGATTTTACTGAGTTGTGTGTACAGGAACCACTGATATTGGTGGTGTTCCAGTGCAGAGTGTCCTTCCACATGCCACTTGATCTATGCAGACAGAACTGTGTGTCTGGAGATGCAGTGTGTCAGTGAGAACACAGTATTTGCTGCATATTAATGCCTTTTTATAATACAGTATGACTAGTTTTTGATACTTATCCAAGTTTTCATCTGGGGCTTCAGTATAAAATAGGCCAGATTCAAATGTGGTTGCTTAAAATTGGGTGTTGAAATTGCCGGTTAGCCTTGGGAATCCACATCTCAAAAGAAATCCTAAAGAGGAGATACAGTGCTGATTGTTTTGTTTTTTTTAATTTAGTACTTTTCTTGTGATTTCCCTGAATTGCTTAACAGATGGAGAAAAATATTTAAAAATATATATATATATTAGAAAAGATACCTTTATTAACTTGGAACAAAATTCTCTTTCCCCTCCCTTTTACAGACTTTTGCTTTGGATGGTTTGGTCAACATAGTTGGAGGTTGCTGTGGTACTACACCAGCACATATCAGGTACCTCATGTGCTACAGCTCATGGTGGAGCTTACAGCTCAGTAAACTGAGTGCTGTTTCTGTGGAACGGTATTCCATGGAATGGTATTCCATGGCTTGTCTTAGGGTTTTCTGAAAAGACGGATCACTTCAATGCCAATAGCAGCAATATATGGAGTGGAAGCAAACTGGCTTTCATAGTTCATGAAGAACAAGTAGAGGCATGGTTCAAACAAAGATTATACCTCTGGTTTTGTCATCTAAAGTTGTGTTGGAATTACTTCTCCCTCTATACTGTTGGATAGAATAGACTTCCCATCTCTGCTTTCTGGTGCCATATGCTCTTTCTCTTTATGGCAGTCTTAACCACAAGATGAAACCTAAAGTTTCCTTTGGTGCTAGAAGAAAGGAAGTTGTGTGGATGTGTTGTGGGAATGCCTGAACAGAAGATCTAGGAATGCTGTACAGCTGGTGCTAGTCCTGGCGAGTCAGAAGGAGCATTTCATACCTTTCTTATTGGAAATAAGTCAGTGGGAAAGCCTTCCTTTTTCACTTAGGCTTGAAAAGGAAGGGGCCCTTGTGATTCATTTTTACCCTGATATAAACTGAGAAGAAGTGGCATGTAAACGTTAAGAGGACACTGTGTGTCACTCTTGACTGGAGTGAAAAGAAAGTGAAGGTGAACAGCATGAGTCATTCTGTCATCTGAGAAACCTGTCTCAGTACAAAACAATGTTTGTCCCTTGTTCAGTTGGTTTGCTGCAGTCATAAGCAATTGCTCAGCTCAACAGGTCATGAAAATGGTAAAAGTGGGTGGGGTTCTGATATCCTTCAAGTGTCCCATTGTTATAGTATCTCTGTATTTGAAAAACCTTCAGCCTTTTACATTCCCTGCAAATAGCTATGATAGGATCTTCTGGGAGTATGTTTTTGCCTTTGGCCTCACAAAGTAAAAATAGTTAGTTAGTCTTGTCTGCTACAGGACTAAACTGCAAATATAGGTTGTCCCAGTTTAAATGAGACAAGGGTCTTTTGCTGAGGATGGGTTAGGAGAAAAGACCCAAACTTCTCTTTCTAAGCAATTATAAATCCAAAATTAAGAGGCTCCAATTGAAGGAAAACAAATTATGGAAAAGGGAAAATAACAGCCCTTTATTAAAAGGTATGTGTGTGTTAACAGAAACACGGAAAAAACCAAGTAAACAACCAAACAATACTCCTATACCCACCAATAATCCCCTTCAAGAACAAAACCGATAAACCGGCAAAAGGAAAATGAAACAGTTCAATTTTTTTGCACCCTTTGGTGCAGTTCCAACCACAGTCAGCAGGGGGCGCCGTTGGGTCACTGGAGATGCAAAACTTGTAATGTCCTGTACCATTCACCAGGTGGCGCTGTTGGATCACTGGAGGAGCAGAACTTGTAATGTCTGGTGCCTGTCACCAGGCGGCGCTGTGAGATCCTTGGCTGCCGCCCCGTGGGTTGGGGGAAGGGAAAAAGCAACACCTCCCAGGGTATATCGGAGAAAAAACCAAAACCAAAAAAAACTCTATTCCCCTTCCCTTCCCACACTGGGAAAGAAGGGGGGGTGGGGGGGAGGGAAAGGAAATAAAAACAGCAATAAAACAGAAAGTTCTCCCAATGGAAGAAAAACACATGATCTTCAACTAGTTAGAATCCACCTCAGGCAAAAACTGCAGCTGGCAATGTCTCAGGGCAAAAAGAGACATCAGCGAGCTTCTCCTCCGATGATGTGTCCTGCCGTCCCCAGCCCCAGCCACACACCGGCACACCCACACCCCAGCCCCAGCCACACCGTAGCCCCCCCCAACTCCTCCCACTTTGTTGCCCAGGAGACCAGAGAAAAAAGTAAAGTGCAAGTCCTTATCTGCCTTGTCTCCTAGGAGACTAATGTCTGGCCATCAGCCATGGGGGCTAGGTCTTTTGTACTCTGAAGTGCTTATCTTGATAACCAGGGGGGAAGGGATAAAATTCTTCACTTGGATATAGGTCTAGTATGTTCTGTTTGCATCTTATCTGGAGTGATTTAATTTTAGTTGAAAACTTTTTCTTTCTGTAACTCAGGAAAATTGCTGAAGCTGTGAAATTCTGTAAGCCTCGTGTTCCACCTTCTCTCTCTCCAGGATACATGCTGCTGTCAGGTAAAACAGAGTGTAACAGTTTGAGTTTCATAACTAACACAAGTTTCGTGTATTAATTTATTGTCTGTTTTCTGATGACCAGAACAACACTATGAATGTCTGGTTCTATCTGAATCCAGCAAGCTTATGCATGTGTAACCAGATCTAAGTCTTACTGTTTTGGCCAAAGGACTAATGGAACATTTTATTGACATCTTTTTAATATAATCAGGCCAGCATATTTACTCTGCAAGTCTCAGTCACTTTGTAATGGTAAAGTGAGTAGTTTTATCCTCACTTTGCAATATGGCAGGGTCAAGCACAGAGAGATCAGGTAGTTTGACTATAGTTAATGGCAGAGATGGGTCAAGATCCTGCTGTACCTGCTGTGAGAGAGCTGCCCTGTGTTGCCTCAGATGCTGATTCAGTCATACTGGGACTGTGTTCCAGCAGTACCTCTAGGTCTAGAACATCTTTTGTTTTAGCAGAGTCTAGATCTCTATGTTCCACAGTCAGAGCTTTCTTTTTAGCCTTCGAGCCATGCACTGAAGTAAAACACTACCTTCATTTTGGTCTGGTATTTTAATCTCAAAGTCAAATCAGTTTAGCGCAAATGAAATAAATCATGGTTGGCCTGTTATGTCATGCATTAGCTTAGTTGGTTCTGCTGTAGCGTTTGTTTGCCTCTGCGTTGCCTGCTACCCAAGGGTCCAACTTGCCTTGTTTCTCTGAACTTGGGTACATAGTTAAGAGCTGTCCTTTTTAGCCATTTCAGTGGGCTGCTGCTTCTCTTATGGTGGGAGAGTCAACACAGCTGAAAGTTGAGAGAACATGTGTATGTACATAATATGGATGTCCAAAAATCGTACCTTCGCTTTTTTGTATCGGACAAGTTGGCTGTTGTTTTTTTTGTGGATCAGGTAAATTACTGACTGTTACTGAGGAAGGATACAAAGCTTTGGCATATGTGTTGGAACTCAGTTCTTTGAATTGCTTTGCTAGTTACTCATTAGAGCACTGACATGCTGAGAAATCATTGTTTTTGAAGAGACAGACCTCTATTTTACAGTTTAGAAAGGTATTTTGTCTTTCTTACACAGTTTTGTCTTTTCTGTTTTTAAAAATATGTTCAAAAATATCTTTTTAAGGTCTGGAACCATTCAGGATTGGGCCATACACCAACTTTGTTAATATTGGAGAACGCTGCAATGTTGCAGGATCACGGAAGTTTGCTAAACTCATCATGGCAGGCAACTATGAAGTATACATTTTATCAATAATCTTTATACCTGATGCTCTGATTTTTCATTGCTCCATTGCACTGTGTTATTAGTTGTTTAACTGGCACAAAGCACTATTCTACACCAGTTACAAGATTAAGAAAACACAGAGAATTTGTTTTCTCACTGTTCTTTGTTTCTCTGCTTACCAGCTCCTTATAGAAGGGTTTTACAAGGACTTTTTTGACAAGTATTACCGGAAATGACTTTCCATTTTTAATTAAGTTATACAGCTGGTGAGGTTTTAGAAAATGTCCTGATCTGTACTGCATCTATGGGTTGAGTTACAGAGAAGGGAATAAAGAAAGTGCGTGTAATCCCCTCTTCAACATAGGAGGTACATTTGCTTTGGGATAGATTGTGGCACTGTGCAGCCCTCACTCTCCTTCCCTCCCTTCTTAAATCCCGGTCAGCATTATGGTTGCATCTAATTGTCATATACTTTGATTGCTGCCTCCAGCATGCTACATGAGAGTTGGTGTAGAAAAAGTTGCTTAGAAAGTAATTGTTTTCTTGAGACTGAAGGGCTCAGTCTTTACTAGTGTAAATTGATACTGTAACATTGAAACAAATAGTAGAGTAACTTCTCTTGAGAGCTGAGACTCTGCCCCAGAGTATGCTCTGACGTTACAGCTGATGCAATCAAAATTAAAGCCTTAGTTTGTTTTTTAGGGAGTCTGACACTTAAGGTCATAGCAGTCATGGAGCAGTCCTGTTAAATAAAGAGAGCTTTAAGCACAGGTTGTTAGGGACTCTGCAGAATGACAAAAAAGAGAAAGTGAGCAGACATGAGTGTTCAGATAATTATGTAGGTTGGATGAAAAACTTTAGTTTTCTTTCTTAACACTTGTGATTATTCTGCAGCTGGAAGAAATGTCAGTCTCCAAAAGTTAAGTATCCTGTGTTATAAAAGAAACAGAGCTTGTGATGCAAGACCCTTATTTCATACCATCATAGAGACTGTTTTCCTGTAATCTTGTGCTGTCAGAAGTCCTTGTTACCATGCAAATCCTAAACCATTCAGTTAAGCATATGACCAACAGTCTACAGGCAGTGACACTGCCGGCACCTAAAGGTCTCTGGTGTCATGTTTTGTGAACAAATTAGTTGTAAGTTGTCCCATATCAACAGCTGTTATGTATTGTTGTACATCAGAGACCACTTCCTTATTTTATTATGGGATGTCTTACAAATGTTTAAATTTTTGACTGCATGCTTAGTTTGGGGAAGTGAAATCTTATCCTGAGAATAACTAGGATTTTCTTCTACTGAGTGTTGTTTTGGGTTTTGACTTTATTCTTTAGGAAGCCCTGGGTGTAGCCAAACTGCAAGTTGAGATGGGGGCCCAGATTCTTGACATCAATATGGATGATGGGATGCTGGATGGCCCTGCTGCAATGACCAGATTTTGTAACTTGATTTCTTCAGAACCGGATATTGCAAAGGTTGTAATTGAGTCACAATAAAGAACATTTTATTGAGTTGTAAATTGCCTTTCAGAAGATGTTGATAGTGTTTTATTTAGTAACCAGTTTAGGTGCTTAATAAGCAGATGTGGTTGTTCCCCAAGAGGAAAAGGTGCTGTAATAGGGAAGGCCTTTGGGTGAAACAGAGGCTTTAGCATTGTATGTTTTCAGATAAGTATATGCTAGTCCTTCTCACTGATTAGAAAAGCCGAATGCAGGTTCATTTTGCAGCAGTTATGAGCCATAATCTGTATATTTGCAGTGCATAACAGTATTGCTTTTCAGAAAACGTAAAGTTGCTATGGATATAGGATGGTTTTAAAAGATAGTTCTGCAACGTGCATTCTCTAAAAATGAGTATCTAAATCAGAAACACAAGATAATACAGGGAGAAGTAGAGATCTCGATATGATATGTGATTGAGTCACCGCGGAAGCTCTTGGGTTAAATTTGCTCTGAGCTTTGCATTTGAAGTGAATCTAGAAATATGTGGAAACTTTTACTGATAAATGCTGATTAGTGTTATGTGATTTTTATGTCCAAATGGGCAAAGAGCACATAAAACTGTAGTTCATAACTTGCATGTATTCTCCTGGCTTATTTACAGGTGCCATTGTGCATTGACTCCTCAAATTTTTCAGTGATCGAAGCAGGTTTGAAATGTTGCCAAGGTAAATGCATTGTAAATAGCATCAGCCTGAAGGAAGGTGAAGAAGACTTTTTGGAGAAAGCAAGGAAAATTAAATTATATGGAGCAGCTGTGGTTGTTATGGCTTTTGATGAAGTGGGGCAGGTGAGTGGTGCTTCAAAGGAGATGTATTTTTTTCTGGAGTGTGAGGCTTCCTTATTCTTGTACAAGACAAAGTTGTTTTGTTTCATTGACACAGTTGATTCAAAAAGGTCTATGTAACCTTAGCAATATTTTTGAACCTGATTTGTAGCAATTTCTTTGCTGCTCACATGTTTAAGGAGTCAGTAACTGTTTAAATGTAGCTCTGCTAACACAAGAGCCTGTCTCTTGCTATTCAGCCATCCTGAATTGTTCCTTCCTTCATAAAAGATATTTTTAGTTCAGAAACTATGTTTTGCATGAGAGTGGAATCTTTGTGAATTGATTTAATTATGTCAAAACCCACATATTAAGCTTTGCATAGGATGATGAAACATTAAGCAATTAGGTGGTTTTTTATGAGTTGACTCAAAACTCTAGGTACAGGGTGGTGATATTTTTAATAGAAAAGTCATATATATAATCCTTTTCTAATATTTGCGATGTTCAGATTCTAAGTCTTGAGTCACTGGAGCTGTAAATGATTCCCGGAGAGTTTATTTTTTGTGTAGTCTATAAGTTTCATGTCAGAATTCTTTTTCTTCACTAGGCAACAGAAACAGAAACCAAGATTGCAATCTGTTCCAGAGCTTATCATCTCCTTGTGGATAAAGTGCACTTCAATCCGAATGATATAATATTTGACCCTAATATTTTGACCATAGGAACTGGAATGGAAGAACATAACCTTTATGCCATAAATTTTATCAACGCTACTAAAACCATAAAAGTGAGTTGTAAGCTTATTTTAAGTTGAAATAGGTTGCTAACATTACTTAAAAACCCAAACCCCCATAAAACAGAAAAGCACTCCCCTCAAAAAGAACAGCAAAACACTGCTGCAAAATGTTACACATCTTAGCTTAGTAAGAATAAGCTTAGCTTATTCTTCTGAAGTGCAACCATTCCCCAGTATAGCTGTATTTCCAGTAAAACAACTTTAAATAGTTCTATGAATATATTTCAATCCACTTTCTCTTCTGTAAATATACCACTTTAATTAGTGAGGTAAGAATCACATTCACGTGCTAGCTAGAAGGAGCCTCTTTGAAGCTGCGAAAAGCTACCTTTTTTAATAAAATTCCTGTTTCCGTGAAAGGGATTTGTGCAGTAATCTGGCTTTTTATTTAGCTAAAGTGTGTGTAAGGAAGTACAGCAGCGAAGAGCATCACCTAAATAGAGCCAGGGAAACTGCACTATTGGGTTTCACAAGACACTTTGATAGGTCAGGAGATGCTCTGTCAGTAGCAGTCTGGGGCTTGAGCAGGCTGTTGTGTCACCACAGGCTCTTGGAAGGGGGGCTGCACCCTCGAGCTTAGCTGCTCAGCTGCAGTCTGCTCCTGAGACATGCGTGCAGGCAGGCTGGCTGCTCCTGTTTCCACAGAGGTGGGGAAAGGAAGGGCCAAAAGTAGGTCTGCATGGGGAGAATGCGGAAAGCTGCAGTGGGGGGACTGATGCATTCAGAATAGCACCTATGACTATGGAAACCACAGTAGCTGCTTACTGCATAACTGGGCTGGATCTTTCCTTTACTTATATCTTTTTCTACAAAGATTTGAATTGCTTTTTATGAATTTGAGCTACTGGGAGAATCTGGAACAGGGAAGACAGAAAGGGTGCATAGCCAATGCACTGAGCTCAGGAGCCAACTGTTTTATGAATTGAATGCTTTGCTTAGATTTCCTTTTTGGAAAGCACTTTTCTAAAAATCTGTGTGCACTTCCTATAGGAAACACTGCCAGGAGCCAGGATAAGTGGAGGTCTTTCCAATCTGTCTTTCTCCTTTCGGGGAATGGATGCTATTCGAGAAGCAATGCATGGAGTGTTCCTTTACCACGCGATTAAGGTATGATGTGCTTTTGGCTTCCATGTGTTTGCACTTGGCAGGTGTGCAGTTCTATGTCTGACAGCCCTATCTGGGGGATTCTCTGTTTTTCTTCAGTATGGCATGGACATGGGAATTGTGAATGCTGGGAATCTGCCAGTGTATGATGATATCCACAAGGAATTACTACAGCTGTGTGAGGATCTAATCTGGAACAAAGATCCTGATGCAACGGAGAAACTTTTACATTATGCTCAGGTAACTTTCAGTTTTAAGCTTTGACTAGTAGTTAGTTTAGCACCTGGGCTTGAACACCTCCCAGCAGATGATAGGTAAAACAGCCTATAAACTGCATGTGTCAAAATAACAGTGGGTGTTAGAATTTACTAACAATACTACAAGTGGTTCAGCTATTAATGTAGAATAAAAAGAAATGTGTGGTAGGTTAAGGCTCTTCAATTTCGTATGTACCATGGAAGATCTGATACCAGAGTTCTTCATATGCTTCAGGAGAACAAGCTGCATAGGCATTCTTAAAAAACAAACAAACAAACAAAAAACCACAACAAAACCCCCAAAAATTAAGAAGCAAAAAATCCCAAACAAACTTCCCCCAGACAAAGGAAACCCTCACAAACCAACAAAAAAACCCAGACAAACACCAGAAAAGGACAACCCCAACCAAGCCACTTTGATACTGGAACTTAATTGAGAAGTGCACTGTGGGAGACAGAGTAAACCTTTCTCTCTGGTGGTAATTGTTTCCTTGGAGTATAGGTAAAAGGTGAAGTAGCTGCTTCTGGTTTGTAGCTGCGGCATAGATTTCCAGTTCATGTAACATGTCAAGAGTGAGGATCAGCTGTTTAGTGTTTTTGAGATGTTGTAATGATGGTGGTGATAAAAGACAAAGATTACACGGCTGAAGGTTTCCAGATTATCCTTTGTAAGACAACTGGTGCAATCCTGTTCTGAATGGAAGATAGAGCAAAAATCTCTCAGGGTTAGGTGGCTCTTAGATTGGAAGTGCACAAGAAAGTCTGCATGTCTGTTTTGTAGCTCCTGGAGGTATTATTTCTGTGCAGAGCTTCATTTGGTTTGTAGTTTGCCCTATGGTGGTGCATGCTTTATAGCAGCAGTGGCAGCATGTTGAAAACCAGTACCGGAAGACTCTCTCTGTCCCTTGTACTTAGGCTATTTAGATGGTGCTCATAGTGTCTGACCAATTCACCTGAGAGTGATCTCGTCCGTTTAAGCAGAGTTGCGCCATTGGGGTATTCAGGGGTGCATAAGAGGAACAAAAAAAAGGAGAATTAGAAAGGGATTCCTTAAGCAGTGTTTCTGTGAAGGTAGAATGTCTGCATTTAAATGGAGAAATGATTAATTTAAAAGTAGAAATGAAAGTGGATGATGACTCCCAGGTCTGTAAGTTTGGGAAGCCGTTGTTGGAATCTCTGCTTTTATTTGTGGTGGTAGTTTTATTGTAGGAGCCCCTGGTGGTCTAGTGGTTAGGGCGCAGCGCTGTCACCGCTGAGACCCGGGTTCGATTCCCGGTCAGGGCCACTCCCGGGCAGGTGGGGCTCGTTAGCCCTTAAAGGCAACCCACCTACGTCCTAAGGACCTCGCTGCCACCGTCCAAGCTCGCTTGGCCCCAGCAGATGAACCTGAGGATTAAAGGTTGGGCTCAGTTCCGCGCACACTGTGTCTCACACACTGTGAACTTTCTTGCACTGTGAAGCCCTTTTGACCTCTGTGTTCACAGCCAAGGGGAACATGAGGGTGAAACAAAGAGAATATGTGGTGTTTTGGGACAGTCTGTGTGCGTGACAAACAGTAATTTTGTGGGCTGCCTGATTGAAAACACGTCTGTGATATGGAATAACATAACCTATTCCAGCAGAAACTGAATTAGAGCCAAATTAATTAGAATTTTAAAATTAAGTGTAGTGTGTGGGCCAGGAATCAATTTAAATTATGTTCCCAGAAGTGAAACCCTTAGGATTAGTCATTTCATCATTTTTAGGAGCGTAAAAATTATCAAACTGCTCTCTCTTTTTATATATATTTTTTTAAACTTTATTTTGTTTACATTTTCACTGAGGTATGTACCCTTTGGGATGTAGATCCACATAAGTGCCCTGTAGTATATCTCAGGTGTTTGAAACGTGATTTGCATGTATATTAAAAAACCTTTTGTATAGTCTAAAATTATTTTATGAGTCAGTACTTGGAATTATCCCACTTTTTTCTAAAAGTAAAGCCCATAATTATAGTTTTTATGCTTGCAAGCTCCTCTGGATGTCTGTCTTTTTCAGAATCATGCCCAAGGAGGAAAGAAAGTTGTACAGACTGATGAGTGGCGTAAAAGCTCTGTGGAGGAAAGGCTGGAATATGCTCTCATAAAGGTAAATCTGTGCAGAAAACTGTCCTACCCATCAGCTCTCAGACACATGATCTCAGCTCAGACTTTAAGGGACATATTTGGCTTTAAAAGTTCTTCAGCTGCCATTCTTTAACAAGCTATTAATTAATAATGAATAATATATTTAACTGATCTATTTAACTTCAATAACAGAAAAAACTGTAATGGTTTATCTTTAAACTTCACAAGTTGAACTCTTTGACCTTTAGTATTTTGTTCCACTAGTGTTAGGAGAAACACAGCTGCTTTTACTTCCTAGTGCTTTTTTTAGTCCTTTAGTAGTACTGCACTGAGTGGCACTTGTGCTGTGGAAGCAATTAGGTTTTTCTTATGGCATGGTTGAGAAAAATGAACAAATCTGTTAATAGTGGAGACTTGCTTTGAATTACTTTATATGCCTAAGAAGTACAGTGTTCTGTTTCTTAAGAAAGCCTATTTTCAATACACATTTGAGGTATGCTTAAAGACTAGCAGTATCTAAAGCATCTACTTATACTTTCTGTGTGACTTTATGGGGGTATTTTGGGAGGAGGCAGCTAACTAGCAACATAAAAGCTTCTCAATTTTTTTCCCAGGGCATTGAGAAGTATGTCACTGCAGATACAGAAGAAGCAAGATTAAATCAGGAAAAATATCCTAGACCTCTAAATGTAATTGAGGGACCTTTGATGAATGGCATGAAAATTGTTGGTGATCTTTTTGGTGCTGGAAAGATGTTTCTGCCTCAGGTAATGAGAAAATAATTTCATATATTTTCCTATTTTGCAAAAATTAGCATTGTAAAATGTAGCCAAAACATTCTATGCTGGCTGTTTTTTCAGATAGGAGGAATTGTAAAAATTCAGTTGCTGCTGAGAAGCAGTGATTTTTTTATTTTATTTTGGAACTTGGCTTCCTTTATGTAGAATTATGTGTTTGTTTCTTTTCTTCCTGAGTTTTTTGCTTTATTTGAAACATAATTTTAAGTCTAAGCTCATGAAAAAGAGCAAGAGAGATAAAAGATCCAAATAAAAATTACTGCATTTAGTGCCTTCCAAGTCTGGGCCTGTTTGTAGCTTTCAGTTCTGTTGTGAGTGGTCCAGGAGTCTGTGCTGTGCAAGAAAGTGTCACGTGTAGATCGCTAGCCCAGTAAGGCCAGCAGCCTTGCTGCCACAGAATGATCTGCAAAGCTGGAACCTGCGTCTGCAGATGAAGTTTCATTTATTGCTCGAATGGGTTTAAGAGAAAGTTACAGGAAAACTGAGGCTATTCCTATACCTTGTCTTTATTGTTTATTCAGCCCCCTCTCCTTTATCTGTGCAGGTAATAAAGTCTGCTCGAGTTATGAAGAAAGCAGTTGGCCACCTTATTCCCTATATGGAAAAAGAAAGAGAGGAAAGGAGAGCCAAACGAGGCAGCGTAGAGGAAGAGGCAAGATACAGTCCTTTGTGCTGTAACTCTGTCACAGCATGCTCTGACAAATATAGAAGTTATTTATTACTAATTACTTTTACTACCTGGAGAGTTGATGCAGTCGTACGCAAACTGACAATCTTGACATAATTTGAAGTTGGTCTGAAGTTCATAAAGTGCAGATTTTGTGTTGTCACAAGTTTCCTGAACGGTACCATAAGCATTTGTAGGCCCTTTATACCAATGTAACTTAATTTCTTGTATTTTTGTAGGCATTTAGTTCTAGTATTACTTATTCATGATACTTTTAACTTCATGGCAGATTTTGCCACTTGCTTCTACTACTTCTGCCCTCGATGAACTCTTTAACTCCCTTTCCATGTTCAAAGCCTGTCACCATGTTTCTCTTTATTCAACTCTTCCCTACTCCATAGCCCTTATCATTCTCCCAGCTAAACAAACCAATTTCTTCCACCCTTTTTCTTCATAGATTGTGGCTTCAAGACCTCTTGTTATGATAGAATGGTACACTCATTGCATGTGTAGCCATGACCAACTTGCAGTGTTAACAGAGTCTGAATATAGTTGTCTTCTCATATGTGTGTTTTGCCACCAGTATCTGAAAACTATGTTTCATCTAATATATAAAATGTATTTTCCCCTGGTGGTCTAGTGGTAAGGGCGCGGCACTGTCACCTCCGAGGCCCGGGTTTGATTCCCGGTCAGGGCCACTCCCGGGCAGATGGAGCTCGTTAGCCCTTAAAGGCAACCCATCTACGTCCTGAGGACCTCACTGCCACCGTCCAAGCTCACTTGGCCCTGGCAGATGAACCTTAGGATTAAAGGGTGGGCTCAGTTCCGCGCACACTGTGTCTCACCTAAAAAATCCAATGCGCAGGCTGGAAGGTGTAAAGACCTTCCCCGGATCTTCGCTCGCGAAGACTGGCCATTATTATAAAATATATTTTAAAATACCCAATGATTTTTGGATTGTTGTGGGCCTTTATTGCAGTTCCTGTTTCACAGCCACTTGCTGATGCCTAGAATAGTTTTATCAACTACCTGTGAATATACTTGAAGTAATTGCTTCCAAATTTGATAACTGGAAGTAGGAACAATAGATAAATGAAGATACAGGGTGTACCTTGTTTGTCCATACTTGCAGGACTGTATTCAGTAGAAAAGGGAGTTGAGATGAATTGGACAAAATCCCATTTATTATATATTATTATACTCATATCTGCTGTTTCTACTGTATTTATAATGTAATAGGTGCTTACAATTCTGGTTGTTAAATATTTTTCTTCTTCTCTTGTCTTTGTCTATCAAATCTAGGTTTGATGTACATTTACTTTTTTTTAGTCCTGTGGAACCTTACCTTGTCTTCATGAGTTCTCAGAGACAATAGCTGCAATCAGAACCTGTTTTTTAACACAAGAAAAAGAAGAACAGCAGAATTTTTCTAAACTATGATATTTATGTATTTCCTTTGGGTTCCCTTTTATGGATTTTTGAATAGTTCCTAATTCTTCCTGTGAAATCTTCTTTCATGTTGTCTTTCTACTTGCTGTGGATATGTTGTGTAATTGTCCAGCATAAATGTAACAAATACAGTAAATAATTTAGAAAGAAAAATGACCTGATAATCAAACCTGACTAATCTTAATGGAAGCAGGAGAATGCCTGGTCTCTTTTCCCCTGCTCTTTGTGGATACCTTCTCTGCTGTATCTTAAAGGGATCTGTTCTCTGACTGTCATGAGTTACCTTTCTATGTGTCATCTCTCTCCAACTCATGCTGTTTTCTTTTATTTTAATTCAGATGACATTGTTGGTATTTGGCACCTTTTGGTTTGTTCTGATGCTGTCTAAAGTTTTTGAAAATTATTTCCCCATTGCTTCCATGAGCACTGGATTAGGATCTTCCCTGAACCCTCTGGCACTTAATTCTCTGGTTAAAAGAAATGAAGTAGAATTTGGGAGGTTCTTAAAAAGATAGCAAACAGTCTTGAAGAGAGTGTAGATGTTCTGGTGGCTGAGTGGAACAGGAGGGAAGAGGCAGGACTTCTGTCCTGCTTCCTCTACCTTCTGCTGGGAAAGGGATGTAGGGCCTTCCTCTTAAAAAATACATTGTCACTCTGTAGAGAACTGATGAGTGAGATAAAAACAGCTGTGTCTGTCTCCAGAGTTAGATGTTGACTTGAAGGAAAATGATTTGCAGACTCTGGTAACTGATCTGTCTGATGTTACCCAGGCTACTGTAACCTCCAGGACAGTTTTAGTCACAGACTGCCAGGAAATGCAAAACGTTGATAGTTACATTTGAGGATAAATAGCTGTGGCTGTGGATCTCTATCAAGATTGAAAAAAAGAAACCCTTTGGATGTGTGCCCAGAACTTGAGGACCTCCTTGCTTAAGACAATTGAAATCACAGTGTGCCCTAAATAGGGTTTATTTAAAGTGACCTGTGCTCTGACCCATGCTGTTTGCTACACAGCACAGATTTTTCTTCCTCTCATGTGCAAATCCAATTGGTAATAATTTTTTTTTAAATCATCATTAATTACTAGGTGTGATACAATGTGGGGCAGCACTTTTTGTTCTTTCCCCTGTTCTTGATTAATCTCTTTCCCCAGATTCCTCTTACATTCCAGTAGCATATTTTCAGCTGCAGAATTTTTTGTTGATGTGCTGAGATGGCTGACTTACAGACCTCCATTTTGCCTTCCCTGTTCTCCAGTCTTCTGTAAAACAGAAGCACTGGGGAAATAATAGATTTTAGTAAACAACGGCATTGGTGTGGGGATCCAGGGATTTTATTCAACAAATGTGTTAGGACCATGGGAAATACTAGTATCACTCTTGGTAATATATAAAGATGTTTTTAACCCATAGTATTGCAACTACAATGTAGGTTCATGAAAGAGAGATCTACTCAGTATGTCCAGAAATATGACATGCTTCATAGAAGGATTTAATCATTCAGTTCTGCCATCTGCAAAGGAGATGAAATACTGTCTGGAAAAATATTTTGTAGTTTTGCATGGAATATGCTCTATGCAATTTAAGTAGTTGCTTACTGCCATCTGATCCTGCACCAACTCAGACATACCACTGTTATAGCCTGGAGCTGCTCCAAATGACAACAGTGATTATGCAACTAAAAGTGTATTGCCAAGTCCTGTGTCCCGATGGAGAACTGCTATGGGAAGTTTCGCTGTTGTGCTGCTGGTAGCACCCTTTGTCAGGCTGAATGCCATCTAACCGAGGGCCTTCTTGTGACAGAACAGCTTCACTTCTTCAAGGAGGTCCTTCTTCCAGCTTGTTTGTTCAGCTTGGAGTAGTCTGAAGTCGTGTGTTATAATCACTGCATTGAAATGTCTCCCTGGCTGTTTGTGTTGCTTAAAAAAATGGTCTCTTAACTTTTGCTAATTTGTTTGATTTTCCTTCTAATGTTGCTAATTCTTCTCAGCATTGCATTGAAAGATAGATCTTGATGCACAGACAGGCATGTTATTATGAGCATTCATGCCCTTTTGTTCTAAATATTTAGTCTGTTTAATCTCTTTATTGGTGAGGTGTATATTTGGAGCAGAGGTACCTTAGGAATTCAGTTATTACGCTGCACAAAATGCTATACAGATATGAAATAGTTTTATCTGCTATTTTGGCTTTTTAAACACAGATTTTTGAATAACATCCATGCAATTTGCAAGAATAATTAATGTGCAAGTTTCAATTACCTGGATATTTTAAAAATAGTTTTTATAGTTTACTATATTGTCTCCAGTATGCCTTGCAATTACTACAAAAGGAGTTTGGGACATGGATTGGGATTACATCGTTGAAGAATCTGTACAGACATCCTGAGGCTTCTGAGTAATTTAACTCTTGTGTTATTTCTTCAACTTCCAGGATCCTTATCAGGGTACAATAATATTAGCAACTGTGAAAGGAGACGTACATGATATTGGCAAGAACATTGTGGGAGTTGTTCTGGGCTGCAACAACTTCAGGTAAAGAGACTAACTGGGAATACAACTGTATATGGATAGATAATTAATACCTTAGACTAGCTTTAGCTGTGGTGATAACAGAGGTGGGCACTTCTTGGAAACTGTCCTCTGTTCCCTAAGTTGTGATTGGGAACACAGATCATAGCAGCTTTACTAATGGGTGGGGCAAGAGGGAATATTGCCTCCTTCTTTAATACTGTTTTTCCCAATAAATTGGCATCTGGGGTGAATGATGTTTAACATCAATGGGAACATAAATGAGAACATCATTTTTTGTATTTGTTTCATATCAGTTAAATAAGTATGTCTTAAACTTATGTCTGAGGAAATCAGATACAACAGTTGCAGTTAGTCAGTACTATGTGTGGGTTGCATTGGGGAAAAAGAAAGTCTTGTAAGATTTGAATGGAACTTCTAATGTGTTTTTCAAGTTGTTTGTTAACTATGAGGTTTAAAAACTTGCTGAGGTATGTTTTGTTAATAAGAGGTGAGTTTCTGAACTTCAAAAGTTAGAAATTCAAGAAAAGTCAGGTCTTTCATGGCCTGTCTTTGTGCAGCAGGATTGGCAACAGGGTTGGAAGGAGTGTTCATGTTCCCATCAGTGCCCTTTGTTAAGGGTCTGTCAGATGTTGCACAAAGCTGAATCACCTTTGGAACTCTGTCTTATCATTCATTCCTTTAGTTTTGCTTTGACTTTGGGTTGTCATTTGCTCTGTAAAGAGCCAAAATTATCCCTTTACTTTAATACACGCAGTGTTGAAGTCAGTAGCAGTGCTGTGTATATGCAGTATATTCCATTTAATTTCCTCTTGAAATTCTGTCGATTGGTTTCGGGCTTTCTTGAGTTTTATTTACACTTACTGAACTGAAGTCATAGAGTTTTCTGTCACCATGAGTAGTGTGAGTGAGGCTGAATGAAAACAGCAGGCTGGGGTGGCTTACTTGAAAAAATAAAAACCTTGGCAATGGCTAGGGTTAATAGGATTAAAATCATAATAAGGGAAGTGCAGTGTCTTGTTTCATAAAATGTACGCTTTAATAAGGCACAACTTTGATGTGAATCATCTTATATTCCTGATATAAGAAATGATGTCCACAAAATCTTTTTATATTATCCAAAAATGTCAGAAATGCTACTGCTGTTGACAGCCTTGGTAGGTGGCTAAGCACTAGCCTAGTCACGTCCACCCAGTCAACCTCAGTGGGATGGGGAAAGAGGAAAGGAAGAAGGAAAGCAAGAAAAACTGTGAGGGGAGAAGAATGTTTGTTTAGTAAGTGAAGAGGAGGTGGAAGAAGAGAGAAAGAAAAAAAAAAAACAAGTGATGCAAAGGCAGTCCCCTTGTACCTCCCATGGGTAAACTGGTGCCTAGCCAGTTCCTGAGTCAAAGATGGCTAACCCCTGCTAAACTCCTTACTCTCCTTTTTATTTTTTTTGCTGAGCTTGACATCATATGCCATGGAATATTTCTGTGGTTAGTTTGGGTCATCTGTCTGGTTGTGTCTATTCACAGTCTATTCCTTGGGGGGTTAGAGTAAGAAACAGAGAAGGCCTTGATGCTTGGAGAACATTGTTCATGAGTAGCTAAATTTTCAAGTGTTAGCAGTATTGTTTTGGTCACAGATCTAAAAGACAGCACCATACCAGCTGCTGTGAAGAAAATTAACTCATCTCAGCCAGACTTAGTGCAACCACAAAAACTTATTTAACAACAAAAAAAAAAAAAAAAGCTTCTTGCACTTGAATTTTCTTAACTACTATGCCATCTGGAACTCTGATTTATTGAAAATTTTGCCAGACACAGAGATGTTTCCTGTATTAAAATTCCCCAAAGGGGTTTTAAGAAACAAACAAAATCTCAATTTTAACTGCAATTTTAGGTCAGTTATTTACGGTAAGAGAAATGTATTTACCCTTTAGCAGATATTTGATTTATTATTTAAAGGACCATGTGTCATCTCACTTCTTTTCACAGAGTTATTGATTTAGGAGTCATGACTCCATGTGATAAGATATTGAGAGCTGCTATTGAGAACAAAGCAGGTACAGAGAGATTTTATTAGTACTTCTGAATTGTTTGATTTTTAAACCACACTTACATTTTTTACTGCTGCTTATTGCATTCCTATGCTGTCTGTGATTTGGTCAGACTGTCTTCAAAGAAATCAGAACTGCTGCATTAACAATATTAATTATTTAGTATTTGGCACTTCTGTGAAACTTAGCCTGAGGAGCTGCAAGCCTGTATCGAAAGGACAATTCCAGGAGAGATGTTTTAGTGTTTGTTTTACGAATGGATAAATGGAACCTTGAAATGGTTTAGGTAACTCCTTATGGGGTCTTAAATCAGTCAAAGAACTTGGCATTCGGCCTACCAGATCAGTGAGTGTGAAATCAGGAATGAATTGTTGTAAAAATAATGAACTTTCTGAAACAAGTTGCAGTTGCTTTGAAACAGTCTACTGCATCTCAGAAAAGATGAATTGTGTGGAACATAGGTGCTGAAGCGTTTGAAAGCGTTTCCAAGAGCAGAGTTTATAATTATTATGTCTTATTTCTCTCCTCAGTGCTGAGTTTCTGTGGCTTGGAGCTTGCTAATCAAAAGTACTGTTTATTTATTGTTCAAACTATAGCAGTAGATGTTCAGCAGCTGTGAAGATGGGGAAATATCTTAAACTGGGGATTTGGAATCATTGTCATTCTTGAAAAGCTTTTACTTTCTAATTGGGTCAAACCTTCCTTATAGACTCATAACTATGCTGTTTTTTATCTCATTAGTTTCTATCTGATGCATGAAGCTATCTGATGTATGACATAAACCTTTCTGTAATAATTTCTGTGTCTTTCTAGAGTGGATTTGCTAAACCTTTTGTGTATGTGTGTTTGTAAATTTGCAATAGATATAATTGGCCTGTCTGGTCTAATCACCCCATCTTTAGATGAGATGATTTTTGTCGCTAAGGAAATGGAGAGATTGGCAATAAAGATTCCTTTGCTGATTGGAGGAGCAACTACTTCTAAGTAAGATATCTCAGTTGGGAATATGGGCAATATCTGTGAAAATAGTGTTAACTAGGGAAAAAGAAAATTTATAGCCATTTCTTTTACCCCTTTCCCCGTTTTTCCATTACAAACATGCTGGTATGTTTTTACTTAAGATTGACTGTTACTTCTTGTCTCAGAAATCCTAGAATATAGAGGTAAAATGTAGTCAAGACATAAAAAATAATGGACATCTTAAGTGTTTAATTTTTGCAAGTGTTGTGTATTTTGCAAGTGTATATTGTACATGGAAGTACTATATTTCCTCTAAAAGTTCATGCACATATGCATGTGAATACAGTTCTGTTCTTCTAAGGGATTGAATGATCTACTTTGATTCATCAAAGCACTCTGAAAGTGCAGGATTTTGATACTAGAAATGATCGTGTTGACATAAGGGAGCTATTATCTTTAAGAAAGTTACTGTATTTTCCTGGATCATTGTTCAGAAAGGTGATGACTGGGTTGAGTCTCCAGTCCTGTTCAAACAGGCTGACAGGGGATAAAGTCTAGCTGCTTGCTTTGAAGTACTTAGCATGTTGCATTTGATAGACTGAGCTTTTCTGTTGAGATCTTGTTCTCTCAGATCTGTTCAGATGAAATAATAGAGCTGCTATGATTTCCTGAAGATCAGTGTTGACAGCTCACTGACACCTAGTCTTAACATTGCCACAGATGTGTTTGGGGCACGTATAACAGCCTTGGGTCACGCTTTGCTGACTTGTTTAGGTTACAGTGTGCTTGAGTAGGTGACAGCTCAGAAGACTGTGGAGGTCATTTTTTGTGTAACTGGAAGCTGTTAGCTGTGTTGCTTTCGTTATCAGAGCAGCACATATTGTAACCAGACCTATTCTGTATTTCTGTCTGCAGCAAATTGTCTCATAATCTGACAGACATTGGAGAGTAGGATCACTACCAGTCTTTATTGTTCCTGTAATTATAATGCAAGGTTCACTGTATTCTTTTTCTCCTTCCCCCTGTGAGTCTCTTCCTACGACTTTGATACTGACAACAAACATGGAGGGTTTTTCCTTAAAAAAAAAAAAAAAAAAAAAAGGCAGGAGTTGAGTGAAGGGAAGGCTTTATTCCAAGTGGAGGTCTTAGGAGAGCCCTTTCTTCAGATCTTTTCAGTGTTTTCACACGAGGCATTGTGGCCTTGTAATCCATGTCAAATAACCACCATCAAACAATTTTGTAGAATTTATTCACAGAGATGAATGTAGCTAAGAGGGAAGCAGCACAAGTTTTATCCTTGAATATGGAAATTGCTGAAGAATATATACATAATTTTGAATACATAAAATAGTAATTTTATTCATGTCAACTGTATATAAATATACACTTATGCATGTGCCCAGACACAATACCGTGTCTATAAAATATACGTCAAGTAAAGGTATTGTATATAGAAGACTGGATTCGTAATATATCTTTAATTTTACTTTCCCAGTCTTCATCTTAACCTCATGTGTACATTCTCAAAGGTTGTGTATGTATCAGAGGTTCCTAATGAAGAACCATCTACATTTTTTTTCTCTGTGAAAAGCAGATGTTATTTGGAATAAGGAGACCATAAGTATTTTGAAGGGTGTAAGATGAGGTTAGTTTTAAAGAGAGAGGGGCTGGATTTTGTCTCCAGAATCTACACAATAGAGTTTCTTCATTATTTACAGTAATGATGATGATTGCATTCTTACTGTGCTGCTTTGGTAAGTTCAGATGCTGAGAAATAATGGCAACATTCTCATTGTGGTAAAGTTTATTTTTAAAAAAAATAAAAATTACTATGTAGTGGTTGATACAGTGCCATTGTAGGACCATGTCCTGTTCATTTCCTATGTCTGTTCCTATCAGAGGATACAATATATTTGTAAAACATAGAGCTACCAAGATCAAAAGTGTGTCTCCTAGAAGCAAATTCAGAAGATGCTGGACAATGTTTACACAGCTGTATTGCACAGTCATCAGTAAACCTCTGTGTTCAGAAAAAGGAGATCTTATTTCTGGTGTGGAAGGTTGCTTCCTGGATTCTGATTTAGATTTAATTTAAAAAATGGTGTTTGACCTTAGTGTATAAGAAAGCTGAGCTTTGGCTATAAGGTCTTTGTTCCTACACTTGCTTGCGGAGTTTTGGCAGGACTCTGAGCAGAGGTTCTTTCATCACTAGAAGCTGTTAGCAGTGTTCCTTTCTTTATCAGAGCAGCTCATGTTGTAGCAGACCTATTATGTTCTATATTTATGGCTTTAGCAAATTGTCTCATAATTTGATGGGCAGTGGAGAGTAGGATCACTACCTGGCTTTATTGCTCCTGTATTTATAATGCAAGGTTCACTGTATCTTCAAGATGCAAGTTTGTAATATTTATTGACCACTGGCAGAATTCCTTCTTCAGGTGAGTAGAGGACTTGAGCCTCCAGTTTTGAAGTAGAGCCTTGCAGAAATGGAATAATCATCAGTGACTTAGGTTAATGCTAATCTATAGACCCAGCATGTGGGAGGAAAACATGTAAGATGAGCAAAAAGGATTAAAAAAATTGTTAGTTCTTGTTAGGCTTAGTTTGGAACAGTCTCACTGAAATTTTCTGAGACTTAAACTAATGAGTTGCAGATTTTCATTCAGCTGGTAAGACAGTGAGGGAATGTGTGTTGGCACATTATTTATGAAGCATTCTGATACTCTTTGAAGAAAAATGTTTATGTACCTATTAAAATCTGTGTTTAATGATTCATGTGTAGCAGATGGATGAATGAATTTCTTCTTTTGAAGTTCTGGTCTATGATTAAGTCGTGATTTATTTCATTGGGGGTTTTGTCTGTTTTTTGTTGGGTTTTTGGTTTTCTTGTTTTTTTGCTTAAGTTGTGAAATGCTCACTCTTTTTTCTTTTTCATTGAAGAACACACACAGCTGTTAAAATTGCCCCACGATATAGCGCACCTGTAATTCATGTCCTGGATGCATCCAAGAGTGTTGTGGTTGTAAGTTCTAAATTATAGTTTCTCATCCATGCAAAAATACATGCCCTGTTTTTCTGTTGTGCCTCTCGTCCTTCCTCTAAGGCTTAATGTTATAGCAGAAAATTGAAAAAGCATAACAGAGACAACTTTCTAAACTACTCTTGCTTCAGTTGTTTTTTTCCTACCACGTGGTTCTCTTACCTGTGTCAGTTATTGTCACTAGGTACTTTTATTTAAAACCCATTTCTTTAGTGAGGGTGACACTAACTCTGAGTCCTTGACTGTAGTTTTGAGATTTTTTTATAGTGAAGAGCGATGGAGTTAGATATGAACTGCTATCCTCTCTAATTTGGATATGTTTCTGAAGTTAGTTAGATGGCAACATTAGCACTGAGAAATGTGCATCTGGAGTTTTTTGGGCTGGATTCTCTTTCAGAGAAATGGGTGGTCTTAGCTGGAAAACACATGCTTGTAAGAAGTAGGCCAAGCAGTGTGTTTCTGTAACTATTAGTCTTTGAGGTTTTGGAGTATTTTCCTGTCACATCTTTTCAAAGCCAGACTTGGCTCTGCTAATACTACCTGTGTAGTAGGGCAGTGCTCTCAGTAGTACTCATATTCAAATAAGGATAGTTTGAATAGTTTGAATCTAGCTTGCAGATTATTGGTAAGGCTTAGTTTAGTGTTGCCAAATGTAATTGGAAGCGAGTCCAAAAGAGACTGCTTAGTCTGAAATTTATACTCTGTTCTTACTATAGTATGCTACAGTATGTACTGACTGCTTTCTCTTTCCTGGTTTTTTCAGTGCTCCCAGCTTTTAGACAGTAGTGTAAAGGATGATTTCTTTGAAGAAATCTTAGAGGAATATGAAGAAATTAGACAAGAACATTATGAGTCTCTCAAGGTACAAATGTAATTGATTTAGCTTCTTGTTTGAAATGGTTGGCACTTGCATCATAACTCTTGGTTTCAGCTCCTTATGAAGACCTTCAGGTGTATTTGTTCTCATTTAAAACTTGCAGTAGAATTGATTGAAAACTTCCAGAAGTGCTTATGAAATCAAATTTTCTAACCTATAAGGGAAAATTCTGCATGTTTGGCGAATCCTTGATTGTCATCAGTGGCTAATCAGTGGTATCTAGGACACCTCTGTGGAGCTGGCAGTCAACCTACAGGAGACCTGTGCTCTCCTAGAGCAGTAGATGAAAATGGGGAGCTACAACCAGGATAATGAAAATGGTACTGGGGGCTTTTACTGGTACTGAGCCACACTGTATTTTAAAACACCATGCTTTCCTAATGCCTTAGTCTTGTTTAGGTGAGGGATCTGAGCAGTAGGAGAATATCTTGCTGCACTTGTATTTTAGTGTATTTTGAAGTAATAAAGGAACCTCTGCTGTAGTTCAGAGGAACTAGAAATTTTGTAGACCAGGTTTATTAGAAGTATACAGGAAAAAATAATGGTATGGTTGTGAAGTAATCTTTCTTTACACCTATGAACTTAGAGTTGTTGGAACTGAAATTCTTGGTTGTCACATTTCTCCTGAAGAGCATTTTAAACTCTACCACAAAGTCAACAGTTACAGTTTATGTGTCTGAAAGATGACTGGCTTTTCCATACAGGAAAGAAGATACTTGTCTCTACAGCAAGCTAGAAGAAAAGGTTTCCATAATGACTGGTTATCAGGCCATAAACCGGGTCAGTTTATATGTTGCTGTTTGTTATTGCTGTGCCTTTGTTTTATTTCATGTATTTATTTAAGATATATTTTCAATTAAATTATGCTTGATTAAACTTTGGAATATAGCAATGTAACAGCTTGAGTAAATTGGAGTCTGTCTCAGTAAAGATCTTTTTTGCATAAATTTGAGCAATCTGTTTCTGGTTTATTTTTTCACAGCTCATTTAAAAATTAAATCTCAATTAAAAAATTGCAAAGAAAATCCTAAAACAATGAGTTACACATAACATGATATAATCAAAGAAAGATCTAATGACCGCTTAGCAAAATAATGTCTGCCTGGCTCATTACATTGCAAAGCTTACTACCCCATACTTGGTATGGTATAGTTGTGACATGGCACACAGGTTGTGACATGGCATTTCTATGAAATTCCTCCTTACACTTTCTCCTACCCTTTCCCCATCGGTTTTTGTACTGGGTTGCTTTGATTTTTCACTTATTTTAAATTAAATATTAGAAGTGTAAACAGCATTCCACGAGAAGTTGCATCCTACAGTGACATTAACACTCCTTTCTGTCATTTCATTTACAAGACTCAACAAGATGCTAACTTTCAGTAGGTCATCTTGATAAAGGTTGTGTTATAAAGTATTGAACAGGACAGAGAAAACAAGTGAAAAGCTTGTGGCTTTGCACACATATATCCATCTCGTGTTTTCCTTTGTGCACATACATCTACACATGTGGCTGCAGAAGTTCTTAGAAATGACATAAAAAATTACAGAAATATTGTGCAGTATCATAGCATATAACATGTCTCTTTGTAGGGATTTGTAGATATGAAAGGTATGTATGCCCATAAAATAGTTATTAGCAAGTTGTGTAAGATTTTTTTGGTCTTCTGACTTGGCCAATATTCTGACCATTGAACTAAGTTGCAAAGTCCAACAGCTAATAAGTGTTGATTTATATGAATGAACAAAAGGCCCTAATTTTTCAACTTTGTATGCCTTTTATGTCTTTTGTAACTGTGGAGTGTGGTATGACTTGGGAACAACATGACAGTGACAATTACTTTGCAAGAGGTCATTTGCAGTGCTGGAGGCTGGTGAGCATCAGTTATGCAGCACGTATAAGAGCAATGTTAAATTATTTTCATCATGTCAAATCATACTTCTGATTCGTACAGTTAAACCAAAATTCATCGGCACAAAAGTCTTTGAAGATTATGACCTGAAGAGGCTGGTAGAATACATTGACTGGAAACCTTTCTTTGATGTCTGGCAACTTAGGGGAAAATATCCCAATCGGAGTTTTCCTAAGATCTTCAGTGATAAAACTGTAGGTGAGTATTGAAATTTACTTCATGTAAAGAATCCTTAACAAGCCTGCTGTGCTGCATTAAGATTCTGAATGTTTTGAAATACATAGGAATACTGAAAACACATGGAAAGTAATGTCACTGAAATTATTTGTTTAAAGCAACACTTGATGAACCAACTGTTGCCATGTGAGTCTGAAAAATAAATGGGGAAAAATGTTCAGTGACCTTATTTAGCATTCACCTGCCAAAGCACAGGGAGGTATTTTAATGACAGAAAATGGCTGCAGAGCACTTAATATATTTGTGTTCCCCTTGGGGTTGAAAATGGCAAGAGAGCTCTGTCTCCTTTTGAAACTAGTCAGTAGGCCTTGAAATACATGATGAAAGTGCAAGGGTGACACTGAAAACAACATTCTGGGTCTGCTGCACTGTGGTAATGTAGGTGCACGCACCCAGTCTGAAACATGCTGGCTGAAACATTTTGTGCATTTGTGGGGTTTTTTTTCCCCAAAAATATGTGTTGTTACAGCTGTATAGACATGATCACACTGAAGTCTCCCTATTTGCTGTAGCTGACAAGATCATTGCAGCCATCAGAGAATTATGTGGAAAGTGAATCAATCTACAACAATTCTTAAACCTATTTAGCCAGTTGTGAAAACATACTTTTTCTAAAGGGATTTTTTTTTTTTTTTGCTAGGTGAAGAAGCAAAGAGAGTTTATAATGATGCTCAAGATCTACTGAAAACATTGATTAATCAAAAGAAATTACAAGCCAGAGGTGTGGTTGGGTTCTGGCCAGCTCAAAGTGTTCAGGATGATATCCACTTATATGCTGTGGAAGAGGCAGTGGGATCTTCAGAACCAATAGCAAAATTTTATGGCTTGAGGCAACAGGTACAGTGAGAGCATATTTGTTAAGTGATTTTTTTTTCCCCTGCATTGTAAGAATGCAATAGAAATGTCCTATTAAAATCTGTGGAAAATGGGCATTGTAATCTGTCTGCAGCTGTTGTCTTGCCATTTCTTTCAGTCATAACAAGATCTTTTTCGTGGTGATCCAGGTATTTGTACTGTAGTATTTGTAGTATTTTGCATTGTAATAGTTGTACAAAATGCTTTATAGGTTGGATATTTTCAGATATGATGTGCATTTTCCTTCCTAATTTTAATATTTAAGATGTCCTAAAGCAATGTGCTGTATAAATTCATTACATGGATCTTGTATTGCTAAATTAGAACCTAATGAACCTTAGTTCTCTAATATCCCTGGATTCTGCTTTAGATCAAAAATTCCACTTGCATGTATTAAAGGTTAAACCCAGTTACAATTAAAATATCCTGGAAAATAAAGCTCAATGGAGATAAGTGTTTTTGATAGTCTTAATTTTTATGTAAAATTCACCATATGAAGGGGCAGTTTAGAATAAGTTGGCTGCTAATTCTGATTGAGCTAATCATTATTTGAAGTATTCATGCCTGAACCATACTTACCTAGATTTGCATTTAATTTGATAGATTGATAGATAGAACTTTCAAGATATTCTGCCTCTCCTTTTTCCCTGTCTTCTAATTCGGCTTCTTCATAGTTCAAATATTCAGAGTTATCAAACATGGTCAGAAAAAAAATTTCAGCAATTACCTAAATTTCTGGAGTACTGTATTCTATAAGGATATTGCAGAACTGTGCTAAGAAATACACGACTCTTTAGTTTTTCTGTTCTAGCTCCCTGGAACAGATTATCTGTTGCATGGAGATGGATTGTGACAATCCATGGCAGATGTTTATATAAAATGCTCTCAACAAGCACACATGCAGGGCTGTTCCAGAGCCTTATGGCCTAGTTAAATATTTTGATATCCTGTGTAAATCAAGTATACTACTGTTTCTTTTCCTGGCCTTTTCCCAGCATTCTCCCAAGAAGAATATCTGATTTGAGAATGTTCTTGTAATGGGTTTTATTATTGGAACACTGTTATTTTCTTTAGTCTTTTTATCTTATATATCCAAAGTTATTCAGGCTTCTCTCAAACATTAAGGCCATGAAACTCTGTGCTGTTGTGCATACTGTTATTCTGGACCCAGTATGTTTTAACTGCATCTCTTCCAGTCTGGTGTATGTAGTAGTTCAGCAGAGTCTTCACCAGTACAGAGAATTCTCTTCCTGACATTGACTCTGTTAAGGATGTGACATAAATCTAAAAGTTGGGGATGCATTTAATATTTTCCTTAATTCTAATAATTACAAAAGAACTTCAAAATTAACATAGATTTCACCTGTTTGGAAAAAGGATATTTCCTTGGTCTTGTAGTACTTTATGATATTAACCTAGTAGGTTATTTTTCTTTGTTTTTCAGGGTTGAAGGTGTATTATTTGCTTTTAAGATGTGGTTGGGGTTGGGTGAAAAGCATTGTTAAAATATTGTCATAGAATAGGAATCTTCAACTAAGTGATAGCCATGAAATAACTTTTCTCTCTCTAAGTTGGGTAGATTTACAAGAGCTGTGCCACTTCTTAAATAGCAATCGTGTTTCCACAATGAATACACTTGATATGATTCAAAATTTCTTTTTGTATGATCAGTCACCTCTTTCTGTGTCCCTTTTTTCCATTTTTGGAAAAGGATCCAGTAAGCAGTGTATTTCCTATTCCACAGAATCACAAAATCAGTTAGGTTGGAATAGACCTCTGAGATCATCAGGTCCAACCTATGACCCAACACCAAAATGTCAACTACACCATGGCACTCAGTGCCACACCCCGTCTTTTCTTAAACACCTCCAGGGACGATGACCCCACCACCTCCTCTGACAGCTCATTCCAATGTCTAATTACCCTTTCTGTGAAGAATTTTTTCCTAATGTCCAACCTAAACCTCCCTTGGCACAGCTTAAGACTGTGCCCTCTCATCCTATCAGTTGTTGCCTGGGAGAAGAGGCCTACTCCCACCTGGCTACAACTTCCTTTCAGGTAGTTGTAGAGAGCAATCAAGTCTCCTCTGAGCCTCCTCTTCTCCAGGTAAAGAACCTCAGCTCCCGCATCTTTTCCTCATAGCATTTGTGCTCCAGACACTTCACCAGTTTCATTGCCCTTCTCTGGACATGCTCCAGCACCTCAGTGACTTTCCTGAAGTGAGGGGCCCAGAACTGGACACAGTACTCGAGGTGAAGCCACACCAGTGCCAGGTACAGGGAAGAATCCCTTCCCTAGTCCTGCTGGCCACACTATTGCTGCTAAGGCCAAAATGCCATTGGCCTTCTTGGCCACCTGGGCACACTGCTGGCTCATGTTCAGCTGGCTGTTGACCAGCACCCCCAGGTCCTTTCCTTCTGGGCCACTTTCCTTTGCATAAAACCCACTTGAACTTCGTTTAGGATTCAACTTTTCAGTAGTGATAGATCAATTTTGTTTGTTTGTATGTGTGACTAGTGTAAGGTCTGCATCCTGGGTGCAGTTTTGTCTGGATTACTGAGCACACAGTTTATAGCGTAAGAAACCAGGAGTGTTTACAAACTCTCACAGCCATTCTATAGAGGGAATTGCTGAAGAATTTTCAGTTTGCTTATCGACCATCAGTTTTGCTAGCAAATGTGGAGTCTGTGAGGGATAGAGATTAATTATTACTCCTCTTACTCAGTGGTTGGCACAATAGTGTTCCTTATTTTGTAATAATTTGTGTCACAGAAACTTCTGGAAGGAACCCACAAGAATCATCAAGTCCAACTCTGAAATGAATGGCTCATACACTTCTGTAGAGGTTAAACCTACAGTATAAGCTGATAAATCTTACTAGTTGTAAATAGAAATAAAGTATCTCTATATGTGTGTTCAGCACAGCATCTCTTCTATGAAGTTTTGGTCTTCAGTGGTCTGAATACCCTCTGAGTGAGAGAGGTGGTTTCCTTCTAATTTAACTACAGGAAAGCCACCATGGCTCAAAGACTAGTTAGGTGTTTGTCAGAAATGCCTTAAGCCCTTTAGTCCTAAAAATACTGGTCTTTAGCTTAGTAGTGCATTAATAATGTATTGTAAATGTTCTGATTTATTGCACTGATTTTGTTACTCTAGGCTGAAAAGGACTCTTCCTGCACAGATCCATACTACTGCCTCTCTGACTTTATAGCACCAATGGATTCTGGCATTTGTGACTACTTAGGCCTATTTGCTGTGGCCTGCTTTGGTGTGGATGAATTATGCAATGAATTTAGGAAACAGGATGATGAATACAACATCATAATGGTAAAGGCTCTCGGCGATCGGTTGGCAGAGGTATGAGGTTTCCTTGCACCTTTCAGCAAACTTACAGCTACTTCTGTGCAATGCAGGTGGGGTTCACTCTAGATGTGTGTTTCAAGCTACAGCAGAGTTTCAGAAATTGTATTTAGATGCCATCTAAAGATATTTACTCAGGTGGGAATTCTTCTTGACGGGCAACTGTTGCTGGCAAAATAGCAGTTCAGAAAAGTTGTTGCCCACTTTCAGCTAGAGGAAAAAACCTCTGCTAAAAAGAGCAGCAGCGTGTACTTATTTCTGATCCTAGCATGGAGGCAAGAATGATGTAGCCTTCCATAGCTGGACCTGGACGAGACACACAGATAGTCAAAACTTAGTGACTATAATGATATGTTGCTATCATAGGTTAATGAGGTCACTTTTTAGGTTACTTGTCCACATCGTTTGAGTATGTTGGATTTTGAAGTAGGACAATCAAAAAGCCACTGTCTACCAATAAGAGAAGAAACTAGAATAGCTGAGTTAGCAAAATAAGTTTTGCTTGTGAATTTTAATTCTATCAAATTACTCACCAATGTTAAGAACTCCCTTAAAAATTAAAATGGGAATGGAGAGAAAGTCTCTAAGACATGGTTTGTCTTAAACAGCTATTGCATCATTCTGTACAAGCTAAACTACAAAAAAAATCTTTTCATTCTGTTCCAAGGCATTTGCTGAGGAGCTCCATGAAAGGGTTCGAAGGGAATTCTGGGCTTACAGTAATACTGAACAGCTCAATCTCTCTGACCTACGCAAAATTAAATATGAGGGAATTCGCCCTGCCCCTGGATATCCAAGCCAGCCTGACCATACAGAAAAACTCACCATGTGGAAACTTGCAAACATTGAGGAAACAACAGGTAACTCTGCTTTACTAAGATTCTTAAACTGTTTTTATGTGAATGAAAGATTGACATTCCAAAAATCCACTCAAGTGGGTGGTGCAGAACAACATAAAATACTGAAGTGCTTCTAGGATTTGCTCTCTTCTGGTTTTCATTGCCATTTTTATTTTGACTCATTCAAGGAAGAATTTTCAAAACACTGCCAGTGCTTTTGGTGAAGGAGTTGTGTCCCTAATTAGCAGATTGCATGCAAACAGGGTTCTGCTGCACAGAGAAAATTTCTAGCATCCTTATGATTGCAAGAAGACATTCCAGATATAAACAGGAAAAAAAAGTCAATTCAGCAGTGTATTTCCTGGTCCACAGGAACCTTGAGATGGCAATTCTTAAAAAGGAATGAATTCCATTTGTTTTCCTCTGATATTTTACATGTCAGATGTTTCACTGCTCCAAAAAATGCTTCCTGTGTGTCAAAACCTCTTGCCAAAATCTCCCAGGTTTTTTCCTTTAAATTGTACAGTTACTTTACAGTAATTGTAATGAAAGTCTGCGGTATATTTAAAGGTCTGTGGGGTTTTTTAATAGTTAACAAGTGGAAAATGGTTTTTGTTTTAATTCATCTGAAAGCTCCTTGGGTTTTTTGAGTTTGCTTGAAGCTACCCAACAAAAAAAACGTTTTGAATTTGTGCTTATTCTCAATTGTTCTCAAGAATAAGAGGAATCTCATTCTCTTTTCCAGGAATTGGTTTAACGGAATCACTAGCAATGATACCTGCTTCTGCAGTTTCTGGCCTCTACTTTTCCAGTCCCAATTCCAAATATTTTGCTGTTGGAAAGATATGTAAAGATCAGGTAACTTACACTGTCCATTGTAGTAGTGTTAGAACATTTAAAAACACCTAACTAGCAGATGTCTCAAAAGTTTTGTAAAGACTAAAAGCTGGAGTTCCAAAATCTCCATCATGTTTGTGGTCACTTTGCAGGTTGAAGATTATGCACTGAGAAAAAATGTGTCTGTTGCAGAAGTGGAGAAATGGCTGGGACCCATTTTGGGATATGATACTGAACAACTGTGATACTTGTGGGTGAACTTTTTTTTTTGATGGTCCATTTACCAGAAGGAACAAGAGAAGACTTCACACTGAAATCAGTCCATCCATCCATCCCAATAGGTTGTCTGATTACTTTAAGTTTTTGATCAAGGAACGTAATATTTCAAATCAAATCTGCCCTGTGCCCTTGGCTTGAGACCATGAATGCATTTCAGATCTCTCACTTATAGCAGCATACTTTTATTTATTTTTATTTTTTTGCACAAAGCAGAGAAGCTACCTGTAGGGTGAGATGTGGAAAATGCAAAGCTCTCCTGTCCACAGGAAGGATTTGAAATCAGGAGCAAGAATTTCTATCCCATTGGCTATGGATATACCTAGACCAGAATTTGACTTGTGTTATTTTTAAGTGTTTGGCAAGTCCAGGAACAGAAATATGATGTGATTTTTCTGTAAAGTCACAAAAGGTTTTATACTGACTGAGGAGGAACAGTTGAAGTACAGATCTCCTTTTTAAAATCTGTCTTCTCTGTGTTTAGGTCTTGAGTTTGGAACGTAGGTTGTTCTCGATGATATTTAGAATAATACAATGTGCTGGATCAGTATCAGAGATTCTGTATTGTGAAATGGGATGACTGAGCCCATGGAGTTGTCCACTTCATGCTTCCTCTTCCTTTCAGCAAGTCACAATCTGTTTCTACTCTGTATAAAGGGTAGTGGCGCTTCCTACCTTCGAGTTATGTTGTGAGGCTTAATTCATACATAAACAATCGTTTGTATGTGAAAAATATGAGAAGCATATTTGTTACTATAGACAGACAGAAAGCTTGGAGCTGACTTCAATGTTTTACAGGCTCTTTAACCTTCCAGATACCTGGATTTAAAAAGCAACTAGTAGTGATACTGTCATATGTAACAGTTATTATTGAAGACGTATTCTTCAGATTCAACTCTCAGTGATCTAATTGTTCATAGGTTTCAATAATCTCTGAAAAGTGCCTCAAGTATTATTTAAATGCTAATTTAGTAAAATATTGTGAAAGAAACCCCTCATTTTTTCTGGTCTCTAATTGTAAATAAAAGACTAATCTTGTAAAGAGAATGTTCTTTTTAATAGTTTATTGCAATCTATTAATAGCTATATAATTTTTGTAATGTCTTCACCTAACGCTATGCTAAAAGAATCATCTTGTATCAACAGTTTAATAAAGGTTAAGCTGTCAATGCTATTATCCCATTAGAATTCTTTTGGGATCCTATTGCGCACGATAAAATGTGCACAATAATCTAAACAGATAATATCAAAATGAATATACACATTATACCATGAACCTGAAATTATAAAGGCTGCTTTTTTTAGGGGGGAGGGGTGGGGATAAAGTAGTTGCGTAAGTATGTTCTTAACTGAATGTTTTGGAATGGTTCATCCTTTGACTTACAAAAATAATTTCTATATGAATTCCTGCCCTCCCTCCAATCCATGTCAAGGGACTTGAGACATATCCTTGTTGATCAGCTGATTCTTGTTGGGGGGGTGGTAGAACACTCATTTAGACTGCCAAAAATACAGTAACGTATTCTTAATATAAAGGAAAATTTGTTCCTGTAACACATAAGTTGTGAAAATTGAAATCCGCTATGCTTTGGTTTTGATCCTTGCACTTTTGTAAATCAATTTGCTGCTCTCCTCTCCAGCGCTCTTCCATGTTCTTATGTTTGGAAGCAGAGTGCCATATTAGTCTGAAAATGTGGTTGTGCGAATGGGCTCAAAGTTTGACTTGCACGGTTTGGTTTGTTTATGGATTTGTTTTCTTGATATCAGTGGCAGACAGCTCATTGAGTACAGCTTTAGCAGCGTCAGACTGACAGAGCTGTAGGTGTCCTGCTGTCTAACAGTGGTGGTGTTACCTTGCATACAAGCAGAGGGTTTCAAATGGTGTGCAGTTGTTTAGCCCTTCATAGATGGATTCATACACTGAGAAAGATCTTCATCTTTGCCTGCAGAACTTGTCGTTGGGAGAATCTGTTTGGAAGAATTACTTACTGTTACTATGCAAATGTTTTTACCAAGGACAATTTCTTTAAAACTTTGGGTTTTTTAAAATTGTCAGTTGACACTTTGGATAAGACAAGTTTTCATTCTTCTCTCCAGAACAAAGATAAATTGTGAAGGAAAAGGGTCTCTTACTTGTACCAGGTAAGAAGTAGTTGAAAGACTGACAATTTTAGAATGCACTAAGTATTTTTTGCAGTACTTTTCTAAATACTACTAACAGGAATCCAAGATGGAAGAAATTATGAAAAATTTAACAAAAATTATGAAAAAATTTAGAAATGCGTTGTAAACAACTCTGGTTTAGTTCTTGAGAGTAATTTACTTTGGATACTGATTTTTTTCTTGTAAGTCAGGCCAGCAGTCCAGAGATTAAGTTTTGAGGCACATATTTTATGACTGTCAGAAGGGAATACTACCCCTAAGCCTGCCCCTTCATTATCAGGTCTGTTTCAGTGCTGCTGTTACTCCTGGGAAGATCCTAGTGCAGTTTATTTTTGGGTGAGGGTGCTACCAAGGTCATGCCATTCCTCAGAAAAAACTCCCCAAACCTCACATTTATTTTTTGTGCAAATATTTGAGCATTTCTTGTGAATCTTCTTTCTTATTCAATAACATAAACCTCAGTATACCCTTTCAGTGAATTTCTGCTCTGAAAACATGAATGATGTCCAGGAAATGAGGAAATAATGAGAGGCCTTTGAAGGCCTTGCCTTTTAGAAAGGGGTTTGTTTATTAGTAACTGTGGCTGGGTTTCATGAAATTCCCTTTGAAATATTGTGCTGATTTACCTGAGTGTGCCTTGGAAAAGTGGATTGAGTGTCTTAAAAGAGTTTGAAGAGCAAGAAAAGAAATAACTACATTAATTAGTTCAGGAGGGTGGTTCCATACAGAAACAGCAGCATGTGTTCTCAGTCACTGGAGAAATGGATTCCTGTGCCCTCAATTTATCATAGCCTTGTCACGGCAAAGCCTGTTCAGCTCCACTACAAAGTTGTTTCATTTGATTGTCAGGCTTCTGCAGGTGCCAGATTTCAAGTGAAGGGTGCACTGTGAACAGAATGCAAACATGTCGATCCTGCTTTCCCACAGCATTTGTACACTGTCCAGCTAAAGGCAGAACTGAAAAACCAGTGCAGTTCTCCATGTTTGTTCTAATAATACCACCATGGCTGAGGTTTCTGACCGTGCCACACGCCTGATATAAATAGCTGTACAAAGTAGAACTCAGCAGAGATTACCAAACTTGGTGTTTGGGGTTTGTCATTCAGTTTCAGCCAGAATGGCAAAAGCAGGCTGGTAATTATCCTTGCTGGCCTGAAGCTACCATGATGACTACAGAATGAAAGGCCTCCTTTTCTTCCTCAGTGCCCTAGCCACCAGTGTGTCCTGTGCCTGCAGCTCCTTATCAGGCTAATGGGGAGAGATCTCAAGGCAGGATGGGTTGGCTCTGCCATTCCTTTCTACAGAAAGAGCATGAAGTTAGTGGAGGGAGTGTGGAAACTCAAGCTTACCCCATCTTAATTCTTAGCTCATGGTCTTTTCTACCCCACCTCCCCGTCAAATTGGCCTCCTCTTCCTCCTTTTCTCTCCAGCAATGCCCCTTAGTTGCATGTCAGGGTCCTCTGTAGGTTCTGCCAAAATGGAATTGTAGAAGGTCTGAAACAAATTTTTTCTGAAGTCTAAACCAGTTAACTTTTCCAGAAAGAAGAAAATTTCCCTGGCAAGTGTTGGGAGATATTAATAATAAATGCTGTTCATAGCTCTGCTTATAGGAGCCTTGTACTGTGTATGTTAATCATTCCTAAACAACTAAAAAGAAGGCCACGAGATGCGTTAAACAATTCCCTCTATGTTAGCTGCCTCTTTAGTTATGGGGTGGTTTTCATCTACATAGCAAAACCAAAATGTGTATTACTTTAATCCTTTGTTAGTGTGTTGTTTTAAGCCCACTTAATAATAAGCTAATAAAACTAATGTAATTTTCAACTGAAGTATGTTAATGGTATGAATTGCTAAGATGAAGTAGAGAATTTGTCTGTGCCTTGCTGTTATAACAAATGCCTTTAACATTCTTTAGGTAGTTGAAAACTTAATCACTAAATAACTAGCAGTTATGGCAAACATACATCTCTTAAAAAAACCCAGGTATTCTCAATATTAGTAATTGCGGTAAATGGAAATAAAAACCTTTACCTTATGTATACCATCAGAGTATAGGAAATGCAATTCAAGAAAATTTTTTAAGGAACCTTCATTAACCTAATGCATGCTTGGGATTAATGAGTTATACTTGCAAGTTTAGGAGGGGCAGAAGGCGAAAGAAATAATAATTAGGTTGTGAATTTTTTCTAGGGTTAGGTAACAAGCTGTTGAGAAAAGGACACCCCATGCCATGACACCCTCCCTCCTCTTTGGAGTTGTTGGATTCATTACTTAGATGATAGTTTCTGACAAGATTTTCAGTGACAGTGGTGTCCCCTGACTCTGGCAAAATATTGTGATAAATGAAAATAAAACATCCTTTTGTTTCCACAATTTTCAAAGATGTTCAAACTCTGCATCAGCTCTGTATCTACACCTAGGTGTCAGTGCAATTTTGACCTAAGAACTACTTCAGTCTATTAGATAGAATAGCTCTGAGTGTGTAGGTGTAATGGATTTTTTTTTCCCTTACTCAAGGTGTTTAAAAGATCATTTTTTCCAGTATATGAGACTGCAGCTTCTGTTAGATACTTTGTCCTTACTTTACTCTTTCGTATACTTGGACTGTACTTGTTTCTTCTCTTCCAGCTTCACAGTATGTATGTGGAGATGTGACTCAGAGTTCTCTGTTGGCCTGTGAGTGCCGCATGTTGTTTGGTTTTTTTCAATTAAAAATACATATTATTTGGGGGTTTTGTTGAATTCCAGCAACATTCTTGCCAAATGGCCTATTCCCAGGAAGTGGACAACTTTATTCCTTTTAATCTGGCCATCAGTTGGAAATCTAGGTTGAGGTTCAGAAGTGGAGTGCAAATAGGAAGTCTAAAAAGGTGTCAGTTCTCTGTGGTTGGTGGACTCCTTACACACTTCTGTCCGTGCTTCGACCTTGTGAGAACAAATACGTCCGTATCTTTCTGTTGATTAGGGCCGGAGTGGGACGGCAAGTAAGGAAGATAAAAAGCTGCACCATTCGGCCAAAAGACTTATTTAGCAAACTGTTCTTTCCAGATGCATCGGTACAACGTGTACTGCTGCCTGATCAGGGTGTGTTTTCAACTGCTGTCTTGATCTTGTCTGCACTCAGCTGCTTTTCTTTCAGGAAGTGGCTACTCGTGAGATCTCATGCTTTGCTAATTACTGCACAAGGTCCACTTTGCTTAATTGGGCGTTTATAATGAATGGCTTCACAGTAACTATCTGCTGTTATAGTTTTGGCTTTCATAAGCCTTTCTGTAACCAAATAGATAGCTTTAGAATACTATTATAGAGCAAATAAATGCATTGTTTTTCCAAGGCCCATAAGATCAGATTTTATTATCAACACCTGATCAAACAGATTTACTTATGTGGCCAGGGGTTTGCAGACCAATCCCAGTAGTCAAGAAGTTTGCTGCTTACAAAAACATGACCTTGTTTATGTGTTTTATTAAGAAATAAATGGAAGAACTTGCCTTTTTTTACTTTCACTTTTTTCCAAATATTGTTCCTCACATCTTGGAGCAGCTAAAGGAATAAAAGTTTTGATTCAGTTGTTGTAATACCATATATATGGTGAGAAGTACTAAAGCAAGACATTTAAAACTTAACATGATGTAAGAGTTTACAGGGTACTTACTGAATATCATGTTGTCTCTTCAGATAAGCATTAGGTGACAATGCTGTAAGACAGGAGTCAACATTCAGCTAAGGGTACATGAAGATTTTAGCCTTTCAGATGTTGGATCAGTAGCATTTCATGGCATTTTAGACATTATACTGCATTCTTTGCCTCCTTTTGTGTCAGTGTCTCCCACTACTGCATCCAAACTCCTAGTTATTCCACAAGAAGGGTTTGACATGGGTTTTGTTGAAGATTTTTATGTGCATTTCCAGGATTATTTTTCCAAAGGAGTTTAAAGCACCACACTGTACGTGAACATTTCAAGTTCTTGAACTGTAAAATATTTGTTTTTTCCTTAAAAAGTCTCCAGGTGGCAATGCATTTTTTATCACTCAGTAGACGGAATCAAATAGCCTGCATTTCCCC